TTTGTCAATTCAAAACGTGTTCACATCCTCTCCGCTGTTTGTCTACTTAATGTCTCTTCACCGTTGAGTTACATAACCAGCACAAGGCTTCCTACATGGCTCTAATAAAAAGCTTTTTACACTATCTAACACAAAAGCTTGGTTTAGTACCTGTCTTTATTCTTTATTATTGGTTACAGGATTCCTTAAATCTCGAAGCTTTGCCAATTACAATATTGGTTTTTTATTAGCTTGGTTAAAATGCCAGTTCTTCTATAATACTGCTCCTGTACAGTAACAATGTTTTTCAAGGATCCTAACAAGGCGCAGTTCGTTATTAGGTTTGATGCACGATAATCTGGCCCAACTTCACCCTGTTCTAAGGATTTCTTATGTTGAAGTTTGGCCATTATCAGTCTCTCTAACCATTTTTTGCACTAACGTCTAACACCAAATCTGATTTATTTATAGAAATCTAACACTATACTTTGGCTCGGTATTAGTGTTTCTACCGATTGGTCTCACACTTGACTCCTCGCATTAAGTATAGATGGATTACATGACGATCAGGATCCCTAGCTTATTTCACCTGTTAACTAAACACCTTAACAGTAACCTAACCAAGCCTAACTTAAACTACCCTAACCAAAGCTAAGCTAACCACCTATTTAATAATGAGGTGTTTACTTATCAGGTGAAATAAAGCAGGGATTCCCTTTTTTCATGATATTCATATACATAATTTCCAGGCTTATGACTTGACACCTACCAGAACGAGCCTTCTAAAAGCTGGCCCAGCGACAAGTCTAGTCAACACCAATAAGTTTCTAGTACTTAACGCCCAGATCAGTACAGGTATCCAGGGCAAGTTGGTTCGCAACTAACTTTCTAATGTTAGAAGCTTCCAACATGACAACCTGGTTCAACTCGAGGCTTCTAGCACTATAAACTGATCCACTACTAGGCTTATATTACTAAATTTGGTAAGCTCAAAGCTATTCCAACACTATGCGTCTAACATTAAAACTATAGCAACAGGCTCCCACAGCTAAAGCTTATACCAGTATTAGGCTGCTGCAACTAAAACTTATATCAGCACTAGGCTACTGCAACTAAAACTTATACTGGTACTAGGCTGCTAATTAAAACTTATACCGGTACTAGGCTGCTACACGCCTACAGCTAAAATTTATACCAGCAGTAGGCTTCTAATGTTGATAACAAATACCCCATGACAGAAAGATTTCCAGTTCAGCTACACACAAGAGTTCCCAACCCTCAACTCCAGTAGGTGGTTCAACCTTCGAACAAGGTGAGTAATTTCAGTTTACATTTATGTGATTTATCAAAAGATTTCTTATAACGTTCGCTGTGTCCAGTTTAATATACTTCTTCCATGTCTATCCTTTTAAATCAACGATTCAATAATATTTACTGCCCCTTTACCCCATCCCGTGTTCGGGTGCCGCGCAAAGCGCGTGCCCCGGGGTTTGCTTTCATTTTATTTGTTGATTGTCCGGGTGGTATCTCTAGCACTCTGTCGCTAGAGAGCTTAAATTGAACACAAAAGTGCTCTGGATTTTCTTAACACATATTGTTCATGACATGGCATGGAGTGTGGTGTACATTGAACATACCACTCCAGTACTTATTTTCATACTGTTATATTGATAGTATTCCTTATCTTGAAGTCCCACATATAATTGATCGTGTTTTTGTTGATAGGGAAAATGCACCATTGTGACAAGTTTGTGTAACTATTATATTTTGGTTTAACATAAAATATACTAGTGTGAAGCTAATTAATTTAATTTCTTGATATTTTATCCGTGTTCATACATAATTTTCATGTTAAAATGTATATTGAAAAACTTCCACTAATTAATATATCAATCCACTGTATAATTATCATACATGATAATAATAAATTTGAATGTAACGCTGCAAACAACTCAGCATTTCAGTATAAAACACGAGAATAGTCAAAATACTTATAATAACTTAAAAACATCAATTACAATGGTCACAGGTCTGGTACTCTCGTGGATGTCTCAAAATCACCATTTTCAAAAAATTAGTAAAAAAAAATATCAGCCTTTTAAAATGTCCCATTTCTGGAAAAATTTTGTCACCCTTTTTATGCGCTTTTTTCTTCTTAATACGCAAAAAACGATAATTGTATTATTCCTTTTATTAGAACTTCCTGCAACAGTGAACCAATACGCATAATAAATTATTGTTGCAGAGACATACAGTACTTTGCTCCGATATCTTCATCACAGCAATGACAAAATTAATAAACTTTGTTAAGTTTCGGAAATCGATTCCGAAAAAGAGTAACCTTTCTTGTACTTGGAAACACCCTGACTAAATAGCACTAAATACAGATGCAATAATTTTTCAACACGAGAATGCCAAGGCCTGTGTCAGGAAGTGTGTGTATCATTATTTTTCTGTTCAGCGAAAAAGTAAAGTAAATAAACTCCATCTTTCGTTCTGGATCTTCACGGTTTGGTGAATTGTCAATCTTGTTAATAGATATAAATGATCTTATTATAATTTTATGCGCTACTTTAAAAAAGAAAGAACTTACTTTCATATCCGGTACAAATAAAAGCAACTATCTTAAAGAGGCGTGGTGAAATTTTACGTTATTTCTGGACGCGAGCGTAAGATCGATTCTTGCAATGAAACATATTTCTTCTTCATTGTCAGTTCTCTGCAGCATTTTGAACACTTGCACATCCTGCCAACTAATAGATGTTGACAGATAACTTGCGATACGATAATGGACATGTGAGAGGTACTTGTCACTTACAGTATCGTATCGCAATATGGCTTCTCCTTCAGTCCTACTCCTTGAGGTAGAACAACAAGTATACGAACATGCCGTACAGTTTACTAAGAATCCAATGCTACTCGAAAAGTATTAGACACGAATTAATCCTATAATGTGGGTTTGATTTCAACTATATGTTTTTCATCATTTATAAAATTATTAGATTTAAGAACCTATTGTGCGAGAAAAAAATATATATATGGGATTTGCGCAGATCATCTTCTGGAAAGTGAAGGTTAGAAAAAAAGTCATCCAAGCTCTGTCGTTTATTGAAAATTTAAGCTAGGTTTCGCCCCGACAGGCCAGAATTTTCGGTGGAATGTTTACGGTATTTTTTATTTATTTTTATTTATTTTTTTTAGTACAAAGCACTTGCAGACATTGCGAAGTGTCTTGTGATCAGTTTTTCGCAATATTTTGACCCTGCAACATTGTCAATTAATTTTGATACCCATTTTTATCGGTAAAGCAGGAACAGCATTTTTTTTATTATTAAAACAAATTTGACGTAGTTTTACATTCTGATTTCGAATATATATATATATATATATATATATATATATATATATATATATATATATATATATATATATATATATATATATATATATATATATATATATATATATATATATATATATATATATATATATATATGATCTTAGCTTTCGTCTTTATTGAAGATGTCTTGAATAAAGACGAAAGCTAAGTGCTCCGTTGTTTCTTTTCCTGTGTGATTTTATCAAGATTTATCTTATCCACGTTTTCATGGATCTACATGAAATATATATATATATATATATATATATATATATATATATATATATCAGCAATGGACTTGTTACGTGGAAAGAATAGTTTCATAATGAAGAAACCAGGGGAAAAACAAACTTGATTTAGTTGGGTTTCTTTAATTACTAACGTTTCAGAAAATCATTTCCATCATCAGAGCCTAGAAAACAGACAATGTAAAAAAAAAAAATACAGGTAATATACAATACGAAACATTATTCTCAAATTTGCCTTCCGAAAAAAAGTTCGAGAGCATTATAATTAAGAAAACAATAAAAATGACGGGAGACCTACGCAAACAAAAATAAATCTGAAGAAAAAAACCATACAGGAGGTATTACCTTAATAATTGAGATGAGTCTTAGAGAGAAAACACAACAGCTCTCGGGAAGCCATATCACAAATGAGTGGTTTTACTTTGTATTGATATAAGGCTTCCATTATGAGGAGGTCCGCCTCACAGTTACCCCGCCAAGAATTGAGAAATCAACTGCGAAACGGGTGGTCAAGTTGGTGGGCGTGGTTATGGATAGCTGAATGTGGTGGTTGTGTGAATAACTGGCCTGTTCTGTCCTAACAGGCCATCTGGGTGGGCTTCTGTGCTTACCATGTTCCCCCACCCGCAACTTCTTGGACCCCCCTTTTGTTATTCCTGGGTCCGTCCCTCTTAAGGATCTGATTAGAGGTAAGAGGCTAGCCTGTTAAATGTAAACAAACGTGGAACAGTGGTTATAAACTCCAGTAATACTGACCGAAGGTAGGATTTATAACCACTGTTCCACATTTGTTTACATTTAACAGGCTAGCTTCTTACCTCTATTCAAAGCCTTAAGAGGGACTGGAGCTTCTGGTGGTCACTACTGAGGCGGGGCTCTTATACACCCGCGCTTCATCCTCACCGCTTCTCACCGTGGCTTCAAAATGTTCACTTGATATTAGGATATATTGAGGTCAATAGTAATTACATTTTACGATACAAAAATGCATGAATACAATACTGTACTGCATTAAAGAAAAAGTATTGGAATTTCTGATGAAAAGGGGGTCCGGACCCCTAGCCCCCTGGATCTGCCCCTGCTTAAATAATTTTATAATTTTTGGTACTTTCTACTAGTTTCTCAAAAAAAATTAATATTTTTGAGATCAGAATGTTAAACTATTTCAGATTAATGTGTTTGTATTAAAAGAATTTGCAGGTTCATAACACTACAATATTATCATTTATTTTAAGAAATAACAGTTCACCAAACCTTCCAAAATCCAGTTAAGATGTCCGTTTCTGTGAGAATACATATTTTATTCAATACTCTTTCCCTACACTGAGTTAAGTAAATTGTAATCCCTGCTTCTTGTAAGACTGACTTGTGTACTTCTGGGGTCGGGGTTGCAGTGGCTGGTGTGCCGTGTGGGCGGCCACAATTTAGGGAGGGGAGGGTGAAGGGCGGAGTGGATGCAACCCCTGGAGAGTTCCCCTGGCTGGTGTCCATCAGAGTTACTGGAGCTTCTGGTGGGCACTACTGCGGCGGGTCTCTTATACACAAGCGCTTCGTTCTCACCGCTGCGCACTGTGTTTACCGGTAGGTCCTCAGTGTGTGTGTGTGTTTTACCACCAGTAATATTTTTAGTATCTTTAGATATCTATTTATTAAGGCCTTTGAGCGCTTAGTTGAGCTTAGTATACTGTATACACTAGTCATGAAAGATTAAAAGTCATGAGTTAGACAGAATCCTCACCAGAATTACACTGGGCAGTAAAGACTTGAGGACTAACCAGTATGCCACCAGACAGTCCTTAAGGCCAATAATTTGTCATTAGTACTAATATATAGTTATTTTATGATGTTTTTCAAAATTCAAAATGTTCCAAATTATTTCGTGAAATAAATAATGACCACTCTTTATTGTTAAAGCTCAAATGACACTATAGCACAGCATCTCACTCATAAACAAGACAAATGTATCTCACTTAATTTTTAATTGTTGATGATGAGTGTACTGTATTTACTAACCTAGCCCTTTGGCTGCGGAGATTACCCTATGCTGAATAAAATGGTTTGGCAGTAGCCAGAATAAAATGGTAAGTGCGAGAATTGCATCAAAAGGGCTAGAATATGTAATTAAAGACCTTAGTTGTTGAAACAGTACATAATACATCATAACATCTTCAAGTTCTTATCTTTCATACTATTTTCCTGATGAGTTTTTAGTTTTTATCTCCACACACTTTGGTGATTATTCTTTATACATACTGGCCACTGTGTTAATGTTTATTCCTTAATCTATTACTCTCCAGTGTGCAACTGGTGAATCCTCATCATTAGGTAATGTGGCACATATTAATCTTCATTATTATCTTATGTGCTACTGGCGAGTATTTAATGTCCACTTAATGTGTGTCCGATATTATGTTTTCCATACTGTACTTTAAATAGTAGCACCCCCATAACTTAGCAAAGTTTCCCTTGCGCCCACCCCCTTTCACATCGACAGTACATGTATATAAGATACATTCTTTGTGTTTCTTATGCATTTCCACAGTTTTGAAGATAGATAGCTGAAATTTGGTAGGGAGGTGTGGGTGGCCATGGGGATGGTTGAGCAATATATCCTGTATCTGCACGAGAGGCAAGGCAGATCACATTCCCTCACCCGTGGGTCCATCCAAAATTATGAAAATAACTTAAAAAAACATTTGATAGAGGACAACACAGATATTACTTGCAAAATTAGGGCTTTCTACTGTTTTTTTGAAGTGTTTCAGATGAATATGACCTTCATTTCTATAAAAAAATTAGATGATGTAGAGATATGATCCCCCACTACCAACAATTTTGATCACACAAAGTGGGCAGTGATTATAAACTGAAACTGCTATGTTAGCTGTGATTTTTACCTCTCAGGAACTCGGCTAAGTACGTGGTAGTTGTGGCAGGAGAACACAATTTGAAAGCACCGGGAGTCGGCCACAGGCAGGTCCTGCTTGTGAAGGAGATCATCGCTCATAACAGCTTCTCCAAGGTCAGTTTCTCAAAATCTACTATGAACTACATATGGGTCAAGTACATACACTCTACCTCCCTCCCTCCCTCTTGATGTGTGTTACAGTAACACATAATAGTTGGTGTTTGTGTTACAGTAGTACATATTAGTCTTGGTGTATATATTACAGAGGTACATCAATGACATAGCACTGCTAGAGCTTAGCCAGGAGGCAACTTGGAACAAGTACGTCCAGCCCGTGTGTCTCCCTGACCGTAACATAGATGGTGTTACGGATGCTCTCAACGTGACAGTGGCTGGCTGGGGCATGACTGATGAGGCTTCTAATGGTAAGTTAATGATAAAGTTTCCAACTGTTAATTAATATGGGAATTCCAAAAGTTAGTTAATAAACTCCATCTATATCCAAGATTCATACATTAATACTGTAGAAACCCCAAAATGGAAGAAAATGTTTTTTCCTATGATAGAATTTCTGTGCATTTCCAGTGCACCATTATATTTTTGCTATGTTCTTTAACTTGTTATGTGGTGGTCGCATGGGATACAGTGCTGGCCTCCTGTCTTAATGGTCACTGGTTGATTCCAGTCCACCTAGCTGTAAATGAATACCTAACTTTACAAGCTAGGGCAATGAAGGTGGTCAAGTGCAATGCAGACCATACTCCCTCCTTACATAGGCCCCACTGAAAGCTTAGTACAGTACAGTATACAGTGTGATACTTCCACACTGCCCTTAACTCTAATCACTTTCAGTTTAAGGTAGCCAATTAAGGGTATGATTTGAAGTACTGTACTATATACATCTTTGAGCACTCCCCCCAGTCCCTCACTCATATTTCCCCTCCGTTCCAACTCGTACATCGCTCTTACCCCTCTACTCTCCCCCTTCCTCCTCCCAACCACTCCACTACTATAGTTGATGTTCTCAACAGGAGGAAAACATGCAGATGTGCTGCAGAAAGTGGTGGTGAAGGTGGTGTCTCAGGCTGACTGTCAGGACTGGTACACCACCCAGGTGGGCAAGGCAGTGGTGCTGTATGACACTCACGTCTGTGCTGGCTTCCAGAGTGGCGAGAAGGACGCCTGTCAGGTGAGAGAGAGTATATATACAGTATATATATATATATATATATATATATATATGAAAAGGTCTTTACAAACAAGTGAGCTCTTTCCATTCCATGTGCTCATATGTAGTATTCCAGTATACTCCATATAATCCCCTCCTTGTTTTGTCTTCCATTTATTCTACCCTTAATTTCCACTTTTCACCCTCAACTTCCCATGCTTTTTGTTCCTTTCTAATTTCCCTTTTCCTCAAATCCCACTCACCTCATGTTGACCCATCCGGCCCCTTTCCCACAGGGTGACAGTGGTGGACCCCTGTTGACAATAACAGATGGAGGGAAGGATGGAAATAGGGCAACGACAGTGGGTGTGGTGTCGGCAGGAATCGGATGCGGTCGTCCAAAACTGCCTGGGCTTTACACGCGGGTGTCTCGTTACATCGACTGGCTATTTGATAAGATGAAGACCAGAGGTGTCAATGTTGTGGTGTAGCTCCCATACTCAACAACCTTCACCCACACTACCACATATAGTGACAGTATACCAGGAGATTACCATGAACCACACCCTCCCACAGTACTGTCCAGTATACCAAATACAAAAGATGATCCATTATCAAACCCACCATGATTCACTTGTATTAAACCCAACAAGATTCTCCCCATATAATTATTTACATATTTACGTATTACACAAGTCCAGAATTTCAAATCCTTTTATCGAACAAAATTCCATCTATTGTTTTTTAAAGCTATGTGAAATGGCGTTTGAAATCCAGAAGTTTGGAAGTGTTTAAGGGGCGGGGAAGGTTCAATACAGGGGAGGGTGAGAACCTATATATAAGGCATGTATCTGACATTAGATTAATACACGATGATGATTAAGCAAATCACAGTGCTTTTATATATGAACGAATGTAAATACTGTATTGTACATTTTGAATTTAGAATATTGTTCATGGGCTAGATGGCTCTTCACATGTGTATTGACTGTTTTGCATAAATTTATGATGTGTATAAGTTGATTTGTTAGTAGTCTGTACTACACATATTTTGTACGTTCTAATATCAGTAAATTGTGAAAAATATTGATTCAAATTCATAAAGTTCATTCAGAAATATCAATACTCTTAAAGTCAAATTTTTAAAAAATATTTAGAATACTTCAGCGAGTTTTAGTATTTTAATGTTTTGTATACCCCGAAATTGCTATTGCAGAAAATGGTCTTGTGAAGAGGTAATACAGTGCAATACGGATATATAAAAAATTGTGTGTACTGTATGATGCTATACATGTATTACTGTATCATCTTATGAACTTCAGAGGTAGTTGCTCAAGACATTTAATTATACAAATTTTAAGAGTTCAGAGTCCTGATAAGAGATACACAGACAACTGTCCTGTAGTTTATGATTGTACTTGACTGTGATATTCAATTTTTACCTATTATTTATATAATATTAAAGGACTACTTAAGTGGAAATGTATGTTTCTTTAATGCCCACAAGTTTTAAGTTTAATGTTGATGACATATTTCCTCAATGAATATCTTATGAAAAGGCAAAACCATGTTTAAAATGAGAAATAGAAGTTCCCATGTAGGGCCATGACATACTGTACACTTCTTCTGATAAGAAAACATCAATAATCTGCAATGAAAAATTTACAGGAGGCACGTAATAAAGGTTGCTGAACTAAAAAAAAATTCCCAAGGCTCATTAGCGCAAATAATTACAAATATTACAAATTTATGAATCTAGATCCACAGTGTGTTGAATATATTTATTGAGATTTTGAACAAAAACAAATTATCACAACTTTGGGAAAAAATGTAAAAACTTGTATTTGTTCCTTACCCTGTCCCCAGAAAACAGGCAAATAGTGAGGATACATCTCCCTTCCCCAGTCTACAGGGATACCTTGATCTTCAGAAATTGTCTTCCATATTCATCTGCTATGCTTACCTTGACACAGGACAATAACTGTGACAGCAGACATTGTCATTGACATCATATTTCATATCAACTGATTCTATAATCGAAAATAAAAACCAAGAAAGTAAAATTTTGCACCACTTTATTGAATGATTTCTAGTTATCATACAAGGTATCATACAGCACGATAATGAGTGGACTTCCATGGAATCTTGTTCAATTAGCAGACAACTGCATAGCAGGCTGCAGGTGGGACTATATGCCAAGGCAGGGAAGTGCTGAGTCCCAATGTCCACTAATAATTCAGTGCAAACACAATACAAACTTAAGAATAGAAATGGAAGGAATTTTAGTAACTTACATTTCAAGCATTATGAAACTGAATATAAAATATATTACAATATTACTCTAGGTAACATATAAATAATAATAATCAATAAAGGCAATCTAGAAAAGCAAATCCTACGGGTAACGTAGGTGTCTAAATCCCGGACAAGCTCAGCACCACCTTGGCTCAACATCACAGTTGCAGAGCAACAAGAAGAAACTGTAATGTTTTAAGTTTGCTTCTATTGCTGGGAGGAAAGTTTTCAATACAGGCAGGCACATGACATTGTGTTAACTACATATCATATGCTTTTCTAAGCTTAAAAAGCATAAGAGTATCTCATTAAGATGGATAAACAAAATGCAAGTGAGGCGCTTATGGCATGGCAATGATGGCTCCGTTTACCTAACTGGTAGTTAGCATAAGCACTGAAGTGTTTAACAGACCAGTGGGGGTTGACACATGGATTATTGATAAAGACTGAAGCAGGTTAATGGTGACTTGTCTATACTGTCAGATGATGCAGATGATGCTAAATAATATATAATACAAGTATATCACTACAATCAAAAGGCCACTGCCACACACAATTCAATGGCAAACACTTGAAAATTTGATGTACATCATCTACCAGCTCTTAGATACATCCACAAATGATAGACAAGTGAATGAAAATTGGTTACTAATCATCATAACACCCTGACACTCTTTACTTATTTATTTATATATATATATATATATATATATATATATATATATATATATATATATATATATATATATATATATATATATATATATATATATATATATATATATATATATATATATATATATATATCCTGTGTACATGATGTTGTATGACCAATATGTACTAAATTGTAATTGCACTGCTACCATGTATTGAGTTTCTATGTTCAGGATGAAGCATTTGGTGGCATACTTCATCAGAATACCTACTTCATATATTTATCAAGGATCAGAAGGCCCTACTTACCATATTCACAAGCTGTAGTTATATAAGTATACTAAAGATCCTCATAAATTTTGTAACTCCCAGTTTATGTGGTGCTGATGGCAATACAATCCTGGTTGACGTTTTCAAGAGTTAAAGACCTCCAAGACGAATTAATCTATCCCTTGGCAGGTTAAACCATAATCATGCTGTCTAGCACTTCACTTTCAAGCTACCTGAAATTTCCTTATCAATCCCACGTACTTTCCTCTACTAATAGATATGCTCCTATAAAAACTTAGATACTGCATATAAGCAAGGCAGTAGCACCAATTTCAATCACAAAGATTATCTTATTATGTGTCCCAATCCCTTACCTTTGCAATGCAATGTGCAGTCTAATAAAAGAAAGCCTTCTGCTAAAGATGACAACACTGAGAAGTCTCAGTAAGAAATATAATTTAAAGGGCTTCCTAACAACAATCACTGTTAGCATTACCTTGAGCAGACCCAATAACCTATGTGCAGTATGGGGCTGCTCATATGATGTGCATGTATCACCCTCTAAGTGGCTGCTGGAAGACCGATCAGTGTTGGTTTGCCCATACATGGATAAATTTTACTGGGGCCAATGTTTTCATCCCTAAACCAGTACTCATCACCGGCCCCATCACAATCCCCTCACTGTACAACTGTCTCTCTGTACATATTTTACAACATTTACACCATTTAATCCTTGTTCATACTTATAACTGATGAACAAAGGGAAGTGTTTCATTCTGATTGATCAATTTTATCTAAAAGATATATTTGTTCTCATACAGTCATGGAACAGTAATATAATAAAAAAGGAATCACTATAGCAAACAATAAATCTAGTCATATCTAAAAGGAACAGAATGGATGACTGAGGTATCAATTCAAATATTTTGCGATGCACACAACTTCGGTGTTCAAACACACCCACAATAATTTGAAAATTTCATCCTTTCTATTGCATGACTAGTTGGTAACTCCACAACAAGCACTGGAAACATTGCTGTCCCTTGACAACTTAGCTCCCTATTAATATTTTCCCCAGAAAAAGTGCTATGTATCATCCACAACACACATGGATTTTTTTCATGAGAATTATCTGTCAACCTGTCATAAAGGCATTGTTTCCATTGCTGTTGATTTGAGTCCATCTCCACATGGGAGTACGTACAAAATACAGGATCACAGATGCAGGTTCCCGTCCCTGAGTGGGAACTTGGAATGTTGGCCACACCTACTGCTGTTGCCAATGTACCCAGGAGGCACTTGTGGCAGGTGGCTGTTGTTGCTGTATATTACTGCTGCTACTACTCGTGCTTGATGGAGCTGCAGAACCATCGTCTACTTTGGACACAGCCACATATGAGCCATCTGACAGCCGTTGGTATGGTATGGGGAATGTCTGATATGCGGAGAAGTATTGGCCAGGATATGGTCCAGCTGCAATTCCCACTGAAGAATAAAATGGTCTCTGTCCTATTGGTGGTACTAATGTTGATGTCTTCTGCTGAGCCATCATCTGGTTGAGAGTCATCTTCCCGGGAGGAGGACGTGGTTGTGGCCGGGTAGGTCCAAGATTCTGCACCAATTCCAGCATGTCCTCTGATATCGTACGCCCCTTTTTAGTTCCTGATGATACAGCTGATGTAGATGTCTCCCCAGAATGATCAGACATGATTACAGAATCACTAATTCCTGCAAGCTCCTTACAGCCTTCTGAGTGTGTATCATCAGTTTGACAGAGGGGTGAAGTAGGAGTTGTTCCTGATGGAGGAGGCCCAGGAGAGGATGCCAGACGAAGTGATTTAGGTCGTCTATTCTGGTGACACCGTTGCAAGCGTAGCACCTTGAAAGCCTCTCTCTCCTGTTGGTGGCGGCGGCGCAATTCAACCTCCTCATGTTCTTGCCTGCAAATTATTTTTGCCTTTACAAAAGATTTTCAGCAATTTAGGTAGATTAGCATACAGTACAGTATAATAAAATCATATGTTGCAACTTTTATCAATTTAATATTCTAAACATTGCACGACGCGACGCACGCACGCACGCGACGCACGCATATATATACGCACGCACGCATATACGCACGCACGCACGCACGCATATATACACATACACACACACACACACACACACACACACACACACACACACACACACACACACACACACACACACACACACACACACACACACACACACACACACACACGCAGGGACATATGTAGGCATGCAAGCATATAGATGCATATACTGTACTGTCAAGAGCATACAAGTACCTGTACTGTATATCAATATGACCTGCAAGTATGCCTATCCTCAACTGTTTTCTAAAAAAAAAATATCAGTGCTTTTACATATATCAAATGACCAATTAATCTTAATACACAAAACAATATAAAAATCATAACTAGATATAAAATTTCTTACAATTAATATTTTCTTATTTCACTACTACTGTACTGTACTTAAGAGATGTTAATTAACAAAATAAGTACCCTGGTATATCACATGCTTAATGAATAATCTTTCTAATAAGTTTCTCGTGTTTATTCTGAAAATAAAAATAAAACCTGAAGTAATTTACTTAGAGAGAAGTTGTTGAAAGCTGTCATCATCCTCTGAAAGATCCTCTAATTCGTGTCTCACAGTTTCCAGTTCCTCGTCCTCCTGAATAGAAAAGAAGGGAGACATTGTGTACGTGACTCCAATACTGTATACAGTAGTACAAACACCTATGGATTGACAATGATTGAACTGTTAATAAAATTTTGAAGAGTTCAAAATAATCACTCTCAATCTTATCCATACGGTTACATCATTTAATACAACTAGATTACTGAACCTCATACACTACACTAAAACTCATACTTATAGAATTATCTTAAGGGGTTTACAAGAGTTCAGTTCGAGCAAGCTTGAAGATAGATTCGACTTTTAAGATCCCAGCATTTTGCAATATTTACAACTTCAGTATTATTGATTGTTGGGCTGGAATATTGGCAATCATGGTAATCTTTTTAATTGTTAAAATGCTGCATGTTTTACACCACCATGCATCAACACGATTTGATGTCATAATTGATAATTGACAGATCTTTATACAGTAGTACTGTATTACAATGACCAGTTCTGCATACAGGACAGTACCAACACCTTACCTACCCTGTCTAGTTCAACCATCAAGCATTAATATTAGGGATTACATTAATAACATTATACAGAACTAAAGATGTCTTCTTTTATAATACAGGTATCACTTGCTATCAGAATGATCTGTATCTGAATAATCGCTTATCCAACATTCTACTTCTCCAAATGTTAGTTCGAATAAAAGTTCAACTTGCACGGCAGGCATGGGCTGGGAGTCAGCTGGGTCAGCCATTTTGCTCCACCATATGTGCAGAAACATACTCTTGCTCCAGGTGCATGATGTCACCCCTCCTTCCTCCCACACCCCATTTGCTTTGTGTTTGCTGCAGGTAAGTGTTCTTCCTTTATCTGTCTGTATTCGTGCAATCTTTTTGTGAATCTGTACATAATAGCAACCAAGCATTGTGGTGATTCCTTGGCTACCTACACCATCACCAAGATACCCCAAAAACCTGTGATGCTTGAAACCAAGTTTGAAATAATCAAGCATCACTAATGGGGAAAAGCCCAATGTAAGGTAATGTACTGTACCAACAGTATACAGGTATAGGCATTTTTTTTCTAAGGTATAACAACTTAAATTATGTTTTGGTAATTGTGTAAAGCACAAGAATAAACCCAAACACAGTAAGCTCCACTGCAAAATAAAATAAAATATTGTGTTTTTTGTTAGTTGGGAACTGAACCCTACTTTTTCCATCCCATATAATATTCGCTATCTGATTATTCGATAACCAAATGACTTTCAAAGAACCTACCCCATTCTGATAGTGGGGGATCTCTGTACTGAACTAATACTTCAAACAAGATGATTCAATTTCACTGTAGTAATTCAGAAATAATAGTGAAGATACAGGTATAAATTCAGCCTGCTTTTGTTCTCGCATGCAAATTTATTTGCCTTTACTAAAGAACTTGTAGTGATAACAGTATACAAACACTGCTCAGGATCAATGTACTGTACATTATTGGCCTCATCTTGCATAGAATAAAAATATAACCTATTAATTCACCCAGATCAAAATACACAAAATACAAAGTTAGGACTCTATCATAACATTTAGAGTAAGTTAAAGGAATTTCTTTAGTGTACCTGATGGTTTATCAATCAAACAGCAAACAATATTCAAACTTATTTAGTATGATCATATTATTTCTAGAAAAGATCAAATTGAAGTGATCAAGTAATAGACTACATAGTAGAAAGAGATAGTTTGATCTTGAAAAGCCCATTTCATAACTGAGCCAGTGAGGAGCAACTTGTGTACAGTACACTATTAAAGTCCCCAAATTTGATTTTGGATAACCTAAACAGAGGCAACAAGGGTCGCATATAAAGATTAGCTTTCGCCCCACAGATTTAAAACCATAAATGCCACACAAACAGCTGGGAGTCTAAGTCACAAACCATGCAGCCAGTGTACACACTTGCATTTCAACTGACCTTGGCCATAAAGCATGAAACTAAGTTAGGAGTACCAGGTACTGACCTTAGAAACTCCCCTTTGCTATGCAGCTCTCTGCTGTTGTTTTAGATGCCTTGAGAATCACTATTTGATTCTTCATGTGTCAGAACTCTTGAAAAGGGATACATGTACCACAAGGTCCCCAAATAGGCTAACCTTGTGAGGAGTATTCAATGAGTCTGACTTTTTATAAATTCTTCCATGATTTAGCTATAAGGCTGGACAAAAAGGTATGATAAGCTCTGCTCCAAAACCAGAATAAAACATGGACTGGACTATCACCATGTGGTTGGTGGATACATTATGCTACACGTGGTAGCCCCCTGTATCACCGATGGTAAAAATTTTCTCTCATCTTTATATGACTGAGAACTGTGTAGCCCAGCCCCAAATCCCCTGTAACCAATATATGAGGCCTGATACTTGGCTTCTGTGCAAAAGAGTATAGTCTTCAAACGAACAGAAGCTACAGCTGGAGTGAGGGGGTGGTAAAGTGAACTGTTTTGTGGCAGAGTCAGTTAAGGAGCAGCTTTCAGGCTCTGGCTTTAGCCCTCAGTGGCAACAGCAGTTTCTGATCACCCCTACAGATGTTTTCAATGAGGGAGGTGGCTAAATCTTGGGATTAGACCTCAGCCACCTTTGTTTAAGGTTCCCTGGCCCAAGCTTGGATGTACTATAAACAAGTTATTCCGAACTGGCCTCAGGTTATAAAGATAATAATCTACAATTTCCTTCAAGCAATAATAAAAATGGAGAACCTTTTCGACCACTAACAAGATATATTAACAGTTGCGCAAAATATCCTACTGGAAAGGTAATGCAAAGAAGGATTTGTGAGTCAATGGAAGAATTTCCTTCTTTTACTGTTCTTTCCATTTTTTCTCCTTTAACCATACCACAATCTTACTCACTACCTTATTAATTCTACATCAAATTTCTTTTCCTTTTTTATATTTTTTCCTCTGCCTTTAATTCTGTACACTAATACTATCCTGAACATGCAACACTGGACTTCAAACTGGTCGATCTGTTATGTCAAAGTTTTAGAAATATTATAAACTTTTTTTTGTGTACCACTCAGTACTTAATATATTGATTTTGTTGCATAATTTCACTGTAGTACAACTTTTAGCGAACATTTTCTAGATTTAGTGACACCTCTAAGACTAAAGCATTCCTTATCAAGTATATTAAAATATCTTGCCACAGTTATACCAAGCCTTGCTCAAACCTGTTGCTTGTAAGCATATTTATAATTATTCTAAGAACTGCTACTACAGGTATTTACAATATTAATTGTATTTATTTTTTACTTGTTCAAGCCTTTTCCCACTTAATGCAGGGTGTCCAGAAATGAATACAAATAATGTTAGTTAGTTAAATTCACCATGACCTGCAAGAAAGAAATCCCTGTTAACTATATTAGTACAGTAGTGTAAGTAAGGCAGCACTTTCAGCTAATACTGGCATATTATCACTACTCAAGCACTACTAAGCATTGGTGTGTAGGATACAGGATCTTATGGGATGGTACAGTATACTGTGAGAGTTAAATGACACTTTCTGGTTAAAAGTGTGCTTATGGATTTGTACACTACTGGTTATTTCCCACATTAAATGGTGAGTGAACTCCACTTTAAAATTGTTTAGATCAGGTACTTCATAACTTTTTTTTTTAATGTAAAATGATTTTGATGTTACACATCATCTGTTTTGTGATGGAAATTGGGGTGGTTATAAACTATGGTAAATGTATAGGAAGAAAAGACAGGACAGGGTGTGGGAGGTGCAGGGGCCCACACAAACAGCGACAGGATCCCAGAGCGACCCAAACTTTACCGGGTGCAGGAACTTACTGTCCAAGAGCACGAACGACCCGTTTCAAGCTGGGCTGTGGGCGAGGGCCATGGTCGGCTACAGAGGGGGTTGGGGTAGCTCTGGTGCATGCAGGTACATGGGTAATGATAGGACTGAGGACAGTGTGAAGACTGTGGAGAGCACTGAGGATTTGGATACATCTGGTGAGGTGAATGACTATACTGGTGAGAAGATTTTGGAGAGTAAAGATGGTGCTTAGGACTCTTTGGGGACAAAGGAGGATAATACATTGTATGAGGTGGGGAGTGATGATGAAAATAATATTTTGGAGATCGAGGAGAAAGGTAAGGTGTTTCAAGTGGATAATGAGGAATATATGCTTCTGTAGGTGACACATTTGTTGGCGATTCATGTAGTGGTTCATATAATGGATCATCCTCTTCAAAACCTTCTTCACTGCTAGAACTTGATGAATTGTAATAAGTTTTTGGGTGATGCATTGGCATCGAGCCTGATGGTTGCCATGCTCGGGATTCTTCAGTCTGATAATGCTGAGTCACTCCAGCACCTCCCTGTATAGTATAATATACATCTTCTTGGAATGCTGGGGTATTAGGGGTGCCAGGTCGGCCACGTGACTTAGTACGGGGGTTCACGCTTGCATGAGATGGTGTATGGACGGTGTGGTAAACCGAGTCCTCTACATTAATACCGAGTTTTTCCCGACCAGTTAGCCTTCGTAAGGCTGGACTACGCTTTATATTTGAAGATACACTAAGCATATTAGGTCTTTGATCTTCATTGAAGCTACTGCCTAGTTTTTGTGAACGGAAATGTGATGAAGTATCTGCATCTCCAAGTTCCCAGGATGATTGTGATAATCCTGAATCTCTAGTCCGAGCCAATCCTAAATGTTGTATATTGTTGACACTCTTAGTGCGGGACAGCGGACCACTAACACTCAGCGTGCTTTTTTCACTGGAACGATATAAAGAATCACGAGATTTATGCAAGATTTCTCTTGACTGTTTAACTTCTTCAAACAAATTTCCTAGGTCAACAATGCTGCTACTACGATCCAACCAATTAACACTTCCTGATTTCTTTATTGGAGATTTCAAAGGCTTGTTTCTTGGTGGGATTGGAGGAGGAATTGGACTATTCAGACTCCTCGTAGTCTTGGGCTTTGTGCGGTGAGTTGGACTTGATGTTACAGACAATGAAGGCGAGCGTGGGGGACGATCACACTCTTGTCCTTTACAGGCTTCCGTCTGTACCTCAACACTTCTACTACAACACAGTGTATGAGCCCTTTCATCAGAGTCACTAGTAAGTAATGATTCACAAGCTTCTTCTGTGTCACCATCATAGGAAGAAACATTTCTTGTAAATAAAAATTTGCTTGAAGCTGTTCTGTGTGTATCAGAAACTTTGGGAATGGCTCCTCCACCAATAGTATATGATCTCTTTTTAATAGTATCAGGCAGATTAGAGGGCAACTTTAGAGTGGGTGGGGGTGTACTTGGAGGCGGATTATTTGAATACAATGGTTGCAGCGGTTTTTCCACAATTTGTGGTAATGTCTGTGTTCCGTGTACTGGTGAAATGACGGGGACACTTAAGTTAGGTGATTTACTATTTTTAAAAGCATTGATCTTGGCTTGCTGATTAGTGGCACTTGACTTATTTGTGGATGTAGCCTGATAGCCCAATGCTAAAGAGCCCTTGTCAGGAACTGTATTAGAATTGTGAGGATAAGGATGGGCTATGGGGGAGACAACAGCCTCCTCACACATAGGTGTCTGCTTGGGAGGAGCTGAGGAAGAGGATGAAGGCTGGGACTGGGGCTGCCACCTATCGCCAGGGGGTCTAGTAACCACCTATAGAAAGCAAAACAATTCTTAGTGTGCATCTTAATGACGAGAATAGCATCTCATCTTATGAACCTAAAATTAATAAAATATTATGAATTTAATACTGTGATAAAGTACCATGCAAATCATCCAATCAATTCATTCATGCAATTAAATGTGCTGAAAATTCAATCATGCATAAACCACAATACAGTATTATCAAACTGCTTCGATACAATAGAGGCATTTTTTTTAATATACCTTAAAATTTTGTACAAAGCAAACTTCAAACTCCTACAGGAATAACAGACCAATATTATAAGCTGCACACTTGACAGAAAGTCATAATATTGAAGAAAAAAGGAATTACATAGAAAACTGGCTTTAGCACATGGGAATGGTTGCAATACTCTGAAACATACTGTACCAGCTTGTAGCAAAACCACTCAACAACTACTACTACTACTACTACTACTACTACTACAGTATTACAATACATACACCACTAAACTGGCTGCCTTCCAAGACAGTCAAATGATCTTCACTGGAGTTGTTGGCTGATAATTGTTTTTGACTAAAGGTGTCCCCATCAGCAGCAGGGGTGGCTGGAGTGGTAGCTGGAGTATCCTCCGAGACAAATGATGATGTCATGGAAGGAGGGGCAGAGGGACCCAATGAAGGAGGGTCTGAGGGAGTTCCACCCTATACGAAAAAGAAATAAATATTTGCGATTTTTTTAATCGTGTCAATCTAGTTGTTCTTCTGTTAAGTTCTACAGTTGTTCTGTACCTCTCTGTATTATCTCTCCCTTCTTTGACTCTTTTATATCCTTTTATATTTAAGTTGATGTTTATTAATGATCATAAAATTTAAGAGCATAATATTTCACTCAGAAATTAAAAGCAAAATAAGCGACAGTAAAGAAAAACGTCGGACTGGTAAACCTTAAGCCCAAGGGACTGGCACCAGTCCACGGACCATAGGTTAGGAACCACTGGTCTACGTAGATGACAAAATAAAAAATAAAGAAAAATATGGATATTCCTCTATCAAATAAAAAGTATGAAATTTTCGATGTTCTGTTCACCACAAGATCCATGATTGAAAAAATATAAAAAAGCTAAGATCTCACTTGGAAGAATTTTCCTCCCAAGTTTCATTAAGTGAATGAAAAACAAGAGAATTTACCATGTTTACAAGATTCATGTCTACTGATAAAGAGAGAGAGAAAGAGAGAAATCCTCTGACTCTGAATTCATTAGCATCATCATCATCATCATCATGTCATCACCTTACACTTAAGACAGAAAGGCTACTATATCCCTACCTGAGAATCTTCACGTAACAATAAACGAGGATGAGACTCTAGCAATCCAGTTGTTAGGGCAGAAGTTCCTGAAGCACCTTCTGCAGATTCTGATGACTCTGCAACTTTGGTGACGGCAAAGCGTCCACGACGAACAGGCGAGCTAACAGGGCTGCTGCATGTAGATGTGTCAGATACTGGAAAGATAAATTCAACAGTTTCAGTAAGCAGAATGGTAGATAATAGACAAAGTGAGTTGCATTCACTGGATTAAATACAATCTAAGAAGTAAGGGAGGAGGTGGTGAAACTAGCTAGAAATAACCTCAATAAAGGTAAACCCAAGGAGTGGTAGATAGAATCTGAGCTGAAATATCAAAGATGGAAGGTGAAATAATGATAGAATAGATCATGAGGAGCGTACAGACTAAGTGTGGCAAAGGCAAATGTACCAAAGGAATGGCAAAGAGCATGTGATAAAAATAAAGGTAAAAACTATAGAATACATCTGTTGAGTATACTGTACCAAGGAATGTGTGGGGTAGTTATTATTGAGAAAACTGTAGCAAAAACAGTTTGTGTGTTTAGAAAAGAAAATAGGAGTTTGAACAGGAAAGGAAGAGGATGAGTGGAGCAATATTTTACATTAAAGAAACAAGTTTGTGGAGAGGGGAACTGTTTATTTGTAGAATTTTTAGCCTTAAAAATGATGGAGCAGAAAGAAAAGTACTAAAGAATGATGATGAATGTGGGGAAGATGGAAGAAATTCTCAAGTGAAAGTAGGATTATGAAAGAACAGGTATTTTGTTTAATATTTTCATTGCCTGGACAGTAAGATACTGTCCCAGTAAGTTAGAGTAAGAGTGATAACAAGAGGTACAAATTTTGTGAATAATAAAATGTAATGTAAATGGTTGTGAGTTAGCTGCTATTTGCAGATGATGCTGTTCTAGTGGATGAATCTGAATATAAGCTACAAATGTGAACAGTACAAGACTGGCAAAAGTGCTATGTGAGAACTGCATCAATATGTTCCTGTATATATATGACATTGGGTGTCACCAAAAATGTTGCAATTACATTTCACTGCTCAATTTATACATGTTATGAAGCAAAATGTTGACTTACCCCTTCTCACAGATTCTTCAACCACCTTTGTGACTTGAAAACGGGAAGTTCGAGGCTGTTTGGTCTCACCCTGTTCTTCAGACTCCTTTAAAGAGGGTGTACGGGATAGAGATATATTACTATGCATGTGTGCAGGGGAGGTGCCCGTTGGTCTCCACGTATAAGCCTCCTCAGGGCCTACACGAGCCAAACCAGCTGATGCAGCAGTAGCTGTATCTAGGTTAAGAGGCACCATGGTTTGATAACCAATTGGTGGAGGACAGACAGATTCCATCATAACTTGAGGAACTAATGCCACAGTCTCTCCTCCTGGTAATCTTACAGTCTGTGGTAGCATCATACTTTGATCTACAGACCCACCCACTGTAGTACCAAGTCCTTCTCCATGAGCCATTGGCATGACTCCTCCTACTGTGTTTGATCCCATCACTGTGAGAGGAATGCCACCAATAGTTGGCTGAGTGGCACTTAGTGATGACTGTGGGTAAACTGGGTGTAGACCATCAATGGAGGGTGAACCAGTATTTACACTTCCCTGAAATACATATGTCATATTAACAACAGTCACACGGAGTACAAATATTAGTATCCCCTATTACCTTACATCACTTTGATAAGAGCAAAATACTTAAGTTGAATTGTATCACATTACAGCACAGTCTCATTTTTGCTTTCTTTAAACCTATTCTCTCTCTCCATACATTCCTTATATTTACCCTTGATTTTCTTTCCTTCTGTTACTTTCTGGTTCAATTCAATCATTCCATTTGTTGACACATCCATTCACAGATGTTTCAAACACTCAGATTTCCTCTACTCCATCTTAAATCAAGTTAATGATTATTTCTTCCAATCTCTCTCTCTCTCTATACTTATTTTCATCACTTAACTGTTGTTCATATTCTGTATCACCTTTCTCTCAGTTATATTTATGAGGCCTGTTCATAAGTCCAACTTTAATCTTGTAGATGCCAAACATGTATAAAAAATGAAGGGTGTACATTAGAGCTATACCTTAATAATAAATACAATACATTACTCTATAGTATATCTTACCAGCCATTAATGGTGTTTCAAAGCACAAATAGATTACATTAATTTTGTGGGCAATATAGTACAGTGCAGTTAGTTCATATCTCTGAAAGTTCACAAGAAGAGGAGCATATGTACACTGTTTTCCAAACTTATTCACCAACATTAGTAACATTTCATCCACTACAGCAGTGTTATCTGGACATATCAATTGACACTAAATTTTACATTCTGTTCCATCGTTCACTAAACCTGCACCACCTCTCCATCACTCATACTATTAAAACCTCCTCATATATCCACACACGCATATATAAACACACAACTAACACATTTAGTAAACATTTAACAAACAAAAAATAGCATAATTATCTTCAAACATGCAAGAAAACATACCTCAGTTCCATGGTGGGCTAATGTGAGGCGAGCACCGGGTACAAGCTTCTGTAGCTGTTCCCTCAGAGCATTCAGGTCCATTCTACTCCTCTGTCCTGAACCCGTGGGCACAGCGAGCATCACTCCTGGAGGAAGCCCCAGTGCAGCTCCAGACATGCCCATACCTATTATAAAATAAGTCAGTGACTTCAGAGTTTATTGTTTTAATGTATATATAACAGGTAACTGACACTAAAAATTAAACTGATGAAATTTATACAGCACTTAACATAGTGACACTGTTTATGAAAGTTCCATGAAAGAAAGAAATCTTTTAATCTGATCAAATATATGTATGACATGCATCAGAGCAGTAGTAGTTTACTACAAAATTCATACAGTAAAAAAAAAATACTAATGCTGTTTATGGACAAACAAACAGAAGAATGTATCAAAGAATGAGAAAGGTCACACCCAAGTTCCTTTACGGTTTCACAGACCAAGCATTAAATGTAGGTTCATCTATGAAATAAGTGCATCAATCTTCTGCAGTTTCCACCAGAGAGAACATAAAACAACGTGAAGAATATATAGCCACCACAGCCATTATATATACACCAAAAAGTCAGAGTATAAATGAAGTATTGATTAATGAAGAAGGAAAAAGAGAAATATGTGGTAGATCACAACAAAGAAATATCCATATTGAGAAAAGATCCATAAAAAGGATAGAGGGTAATCTCTTTCTCTCAAAGAAGTGTCCACTTCTATTACATGAAATATATCAATAGAGACTGTACTTACCGGGTGTCATAGCTGCTGGAGTCCCAGCTGCCAAGCCCATAGGTGTTTGCATACATATGGATACAGGTACATTAATAGGAAGATCTGTTCCTTGACATACTGCAACATGACCAGACACTACAGGCATATACGTAGCTTCTACACCAACTTGACTAACTTCTCCTGTCCCTTGACCTGATTCTCCAGTCACCTGGCTATGTTCTGTAGCCACGTGACCAGCTTCTCTGGTCGCCTGGTCAGGTGGCAGTGTACCCTGACTGGAATCGACTGCAAAATGTCCAGTTTGTGCTATGGACATATTCATATTAGGAAAGATGTTGACAGCAGAAGCAGGTATCTCTGAAGGTAATGATGTGAGTTGATGCATTGCTGTAGCAGGCGGTGGTACTGCCTGGAAACTTGGAAACGTGTCAGTATTGATGGGCATACCAACTGAATCTAATGGAACTGATGGAGTTCCTAAAACACTCCCAACTGGTGTTGGAGCTGCCATGATGCCAGGCACCGGTGCAGTCATCAGCATACCAGCAGGCGCAAGTGGAGTGTGCAACACTGCAGGTGTAACCAGAGGTGCCGTTACCGTATCACTGGTGATGGGAGGCGTGGCCAATACTCTTCTGTCATCAATTCCCATGCTCAGAACACCCTGCAGTAATAGAAGTGGTGGCACATACAGCTGTTTTGCTTGATGAAATTATCATTTAACCTTACCTCAATATTCCCTGTTATATACAGGAATACTACAAGTGAAAATGTAAAATAATAACATGGTAAGACTACTAACAAAAAGTGCATGACAAGTACTGTAAATCTATAACAAATGGAAAATTTTAATGTATTTGTTTAGCTTGAAATTAATTATTCAAAAGCTTGTATATTACAACAGGAAACCAAATTACAAAAGAAAATATTAAACTTTAAATTTTTATGAAAGACGAAGCACTAAAAGCCAAATGAGAATCTAAGAAGACAAGCCAAAAGAAATACTGCAGCTACGCATGCACAGCCAGTGTAATGAACACATTGCAAAACTTATACAGTATTCACCATTACCTTAATTACACAGAAGTATACTCATAAAAACCCACCCAGCTTACTGAACTAATAGTTCAGTAAATGATTTGTTATAATTGTTCCACAGGACTTGACTATTAGAATGAACAAAGTGTGTTTTATATTACAAAAAATTATTTAAATTGTTTTCTCTGGACAAATATGTTGGCCATCTGCACCCCACAGATGCAGCATGGACAGCTCTACAGTACAGTCGACCCTTGTTAATTCGGACTAATAGGGGGGGATGAGTGCCCGTTTTAGCTGATTGTCCGAATTAACCGATTTAGGGGTTATTATTGCATAATATTGCATTATACAGCTATGTGTATGTTTATTTGAGTGCCCCGTCATAGGAGTCCGTTTTCTCTCATTTCAGGATGTCTTAATCTTAGAGTGCACCAGAGACTGGGGTTGCAATTGTTGAGGCAACTTAGGTATGTCTGATTACAGATGGAATATTCAAGATCCATTGTGAGTGATGTTTAAAGCTTCAACTGTCCTTATGGTTGGTAAAACTTATCAAGTCTGTCAGTCAGAGTGGCATGTGTGAGGCCTTGTGTTTGTACAACCGCTAAATATATAAATATATTATGTTATGGTAATTAACAGAAACACACATAAGCATGACTAGGTTTATTACAAAGTAATGAAAAGGATACTGTACAGTGGGTAGTCCACAAAACATGTAGCCATGTCTCTTTATTTGAGTGCCCCGTCATAGGAGTCCGTTTTCTCTCACTTCAGGACGCCTGGGTCGTCCGTTTTCTCTTAATCTTAGAGTGCACCAAAGACTTCAGTATTCCTTAGAAGTGACACAGAATTGGAAAATTGCAACCCCAATTGCAACTGGGACAAACCCAGAACCAGAAATTTAATACGGACAGTTCAGATTTCGTCCGAATTATCCGAAATCCGGATTAAAGGGGTCCGAATTAACGAGGGTCGACTGTACACTAATGAAGACAAATATAACACTTAACATGCACTGAGGTGTTTATACTTAGTTTCTACTATCATGCAAAGGAGTAAATTTGTTATTTTATCCATATTATAAAAACAGTTACAGGTATAACTATTACAACAACCTTTAGTTTACAGTTGGTCCTGTAGGAACCTGACAATCAACAATGCACAACATTATTAACTACATCAGCTATCATTATTAATTAAACCTGGTAACTAAGGTATTGGTGACAATTCATATTCATACCACTTTGTACCATGTAAAAAAAAGTGTCTGAAGCACATTAAAGTATGAAATCCCTGTTTGCAGCAGAAGAGAAGAAGAAAGTGATACGAGATTCCACCACTTGAGCACATCCTGGCAGAACTGCCTTGTTCCGGAGGCTATTTGCATTTTTTAATCAAGGAGCTTGTTGCCTAGTTGTTGTTTGTGTAGTTGCTGCATTTACAGCCATCACTTAGCCAATCCAGGCTTTGTTGAGAAAAGACCCAACTTCAATCAAGCAATTGTTTTGAAAGTTACTCGAAAAGCCACAATGACCAACCCTGTGCTGGTTTACTTGACTCGATCCTCTCAGTCATAAACTGTTACAAACTTAATTTTTCACTTTTCACCTAACAAGGAAACACCAAGATAGGAAGTAGGCTAAGAGAAACAACTGAGCTAGAGTCACATACCAACAAGAAAAAATGTGTGAAAGGGAAGACAGCTTCAACAAGTCTGGTGTGCTGGTATAAAAGTAATCCACACACACACAAACACAGTAGTGCAACATTATTAAATCCACTGTTGATTTATTTGCTTCAATGTTAATAAAACATTTGTCTATGAAAACTTTAAAACACACTCTCACTTAACTTACAGCGCCTCTGACAAAGGTAGGCTCTGCCAGGGAGTGCTTAGTGATGGTAATCTTGTGGGTCACTCACTCAAGACCCATACACCATAAAAACTGTATCTACCAAGTTAGGGATTGACCTAATGACTGACTGACTGACTGACTGACTACCAAAAACAAGCTATTTTTACTCTTGGACAATATGCCTTGTTTACTGCTTAACAACTGATAAGCTACACAATATTTTTTGTGGTATAACTCAAGTGAAGCCCATTTTTGTCTAAATGAAATTCACTTAAAATTTCAGAACAAAGTGAATGCAAGATTATGTTTGTGCATTTCTCTGCTGGGGAGACTTGTGTACACATATTCATTAATATGAACTATTTTCTTTTTTATGAAGTACAGTAAATCTTAAAAAAAAAAAAAAAAATGTACAGCATTTAAAAAAAATGCTTGTCTAGCAAAATGGCATAAAGCTAGGACAAATTTTATGCAATAAGAAGCTAGGTTGATATACAGTACCTGCAGTACCTTATTTTATGTACTGGTAGGTCAAAATTACCTCCCAGGCAGATTGTTAAACAGTGTGTGCGTGTGTGTGTGTGTGTGTGTATGTGTAAACATTATTTGAGTCTTGTGATGGGATGTGAATACTAATGTGAACTTACTTATACAAGTATGCAAAAATATATGCATACCTGAATGTGTACATGCCTGTGCATATGTAAATATGTATGCATAACTACATGAATGCATATCTGTATGTTTACACAGTATGCAAATGAGCATGCCTGCATTAGTGTAGCTACTGTATGAGTATCAGTACAGTGATCCCTCGGTTAATGAGCGCCTCGGTTAACAAGATTTCAGTTAACGAATTACCTTCCATAAGATTCTTAACTTCGGTTAACAAGCATTCCCTCGATTAACAAATTCCTTACGAGCGGCCCCCAACATGTTTTCGCTTGCACACCACCTGTCGTATTAGTCCGCCAATACAGTAATCGGTTCTAGGGCTTAAATTCCTTACCATTTTAGTAACTATCAAGAAGGTTGTACTATTCAATCATTTTAAAAGTTTTATATTAATTTTTTTAGTGATTTTAACAATTATTGGACATAATTGAAGTACAGGAAACTAGTTTTATGCGTGCCAAACAGCCTGTCAACACACCAAACAGGCGTCAGTCTTCTTTTCAGTGGAGGTAACATCTTGCTTCAGACTCTCTTCAACATGAACACTTTTTTCTGTATTTTTCGTCAAATTATTGGTCATTTTGAAATTTATTTTACATATTGATGATATATAGTGCAGCATTAATTTAAAGAAAATATTCCTTATTTACAGCAATTAAACTTAAAATATCACGTGTTGAGATTGTGTTTGAATCCAGCATGGGTCCCAAGAAATCTAGAAAAGCGATTTCAATTCAGATGAAGCAGGAAATAATTAAGAAACATGAAGAAGGCATTAGAACAAATGTGCTAAGCAAAGAATATGGCATGTTGACATCAACTGTGTCGACAATTCTTGCACAGAAAGACAAATTCAAGGAAGTGAAAGTGAGTGACAAATCTATCAGTGTGTTCAAAGGTAGATCCCTAATTGCAGAAACAGAGAGGTTACTTCTCAGGCACAGACTTTGAAGATTTTAGGGCCAGCAAAGGCTGGTTCGAAAAATTTAAGAAAAGAAGTGACATATTTAGTGTAGTTAGGCGTGGTGAGGCTGCCAGTGCTGATAAGGAAAGGGCAGCAAAGTTTTTAGTGGAATTTAAAGAACTGATGGAAACAGAAAATTACCTTCCACAGCAAGTGTTTAATGTGGACGAAACTGGGCTGTTCTGGAAAAAGATGCCCAAAAGAACATTCATCACCGGAGATGAAGCCTCTTTACCTGGGCATAAACCCATGAAAGACCGTCTCACTCTATTGCTTGGTGCCAATGCTTCAGGGGATTTCCGACTGAAGCCTATGCTTGTCTACCACTCTGAGAACCCCAGGGTGTTCAAGCAACAGAAAGTGGTAAGAGGACGGACTGGAGTTTATTGGAAATCCAACCATAAGGCATGGGTAACAAGACAGCTCTTTAATGAATGGGTTGTTGAGATGTTTTGCCCTTCTGCGAAGAGCTACCTAACCACCAATAAACTCACTTTAAAGGCTCTTCTCATGGATAATGCCCTTGGTCATGACCCTCAACTTGCCAGAACTTTGGAGTCTCAATTTGACTTTGTCGAAGTGTTGTTTTTGCCTCCCAACACTACATCAATCATACAGCCAATGGACCAGAATGTGATCAGCAACTTCAAGAAGTTGTACATGAAGAAAATGTTCAGGAGGTGTCATCAGGCAACTTCCACTGATCCTGAACTAACACTGGCACAGTTCTGGAAGACACAGTTTAACATCCTGAAGGCTGTAAAATTGATTATGTCCTCATGGCAAGAAGTCTCCACTAGAACCCCCAATTCTTCATGGAAAGCACTGTGACCATCAGTAGTCCATGATTTTGAGGGATTTCAGGATGAAACAAGAGTTGCACCAAGAGATTGTGTCCATTGGTCAGTCATTGGGCCTTGAAGTGGAGGAGGATGATGTCGAAGAGCTTGTGATGTTTCATGAACAGGAACTTACAACTGGATGAGATGTTAGAGGCTGACAGTGGTGAGGAGGAAATGGAAAGTGATGACCATATGTCAACTTCAGAGTTGAAAGATGTTGTTCACCACTGGGAGAAGTTCAGGAAACAGGCTTCAAGGCACCCAGATGTGGAAAAATCTGAACTAGCTTTGTGTCATGTTGAGGACACAGTGGTCTCCTTTAAACATCAGTTAATGAGGAGGAGGAGAGATTCCCCACAGACAAAATTTGACACCTTCTTCAGTAAAAGGTAGCAGGAACAAGATGCTAGCCCTCAGCCTTCCACTTCAAGAAGGAGAGAGGATGTTCCTGGTGGAGAATCTGTCAGTCCAGAGGTTCCTGACATTTTCATGGAAGGTGACTCACCTTCCAAGAAGCAGTAAAATGCTTCTCCTCCACCTCCACTTCCTTCTCTTCTCCCTTCTCCTCCTCCACCTCCCACTTCAAATTCACATCAGCATCATCATCCAGGATTCTTCTACATACACCTCAAAGTAAGTGTACTTTACTACCTTTTTTATTGACTTCAGGCAATTTTCGGTGAGCTGGAACCAATTACCCAAAAACCCATTGAAACGATGGTTTCGGTTAACGAGCAACCTTCTGGAACGAACTGTGCTCGTTAACCGAGGGACCACTGTATATATCTACAAGTCTATAGCTCTAAATGTATTCAATTACATGGGATTGAAAGTATGTGTAATTGTTTCTAAATATGCTATGCATGCATAAGCTTCATCAAAATCTCCTTTTTTATCTAAATCAAACCAACAGGAATCCCCATGGTGCTAATAAGAGCAGTCTGGTGTAGAACTAGGGGTGGTAGCATAGGCTACATAATGCAGTCCCTGATAATGGTGCAGACCAGCTAGAGACTACACTACAGTGCACAATTTACCTGGGAATGTGGTAGTAAGGCCTGGCTCAGCGGTGGTATGGGAGGAGTGACCACGATGGTGAGAGCACCACCCGGGGGATGCATGTGGGGTGAGTCTAGGGGCAGTGGGAGGGAACGCAATCCCTCCTTACCCTCCACCTCACATGCAACCTATGAACCACCAATGAGTCATGCACTACACAAACTACAATTTTCATTTATTTTCTCTTTATAGATGGCAGAAGGAGAGTCATTACAATAATCATTAAAGGAACAGTTGATAAAGTCAAATCTCTTCAGAAAAATTTATGTGTCAATCGTATAATATGTACAATGAAAGACAAAAGTCGTGTCGAGAAATTTGGTGAAAACATATGACGAAGGGCTGAAACTTTTGGTGCGCTCTGCCTTGTGGCAGGGCTCTCATAATGTTTCACGAGTTATATTTAATCTTCGGACAAAACCGCGACACGAGTTTTGTCCTCGATTGTACACTACTATTACCTAACATATTAGTTAACAATGAAAGGTGGGGGAAAAAAGGCTGAGGAAATTTTTGAAAAACTTATTAAAAATTTTTGAAAACATAATTGAATATGACACCAAACGTTCCGTTTTTAAGCTCTTGTATTGCATTATTATTCTCTATTATGAAAGTCCTGAAAATTAGTTTCACTCTTAAAACAAGGTGTCTTTATTTCTATAATAATGCATAGAACACAAAATTAGTTAAAACCTTTAGGAACTTTAGAAAGACTGTCACATTAAAGGAAAGATCTAATTCTGTAATTTAATTCTTCTAAAGTTATTACCATCAATATACTGTAAATGACTATACAAACTCTCCCTCTGCATCACCCCTGGCTCTCACTCTCTTAAACTATAACAATACAAGTGTCCATAAAAAGCCACTTATCAATTAGGGCCACATTAGTAACTACAAGATATGACACTTCTAAAATAAATGAAGCCTGGATTACTTGAGACACTACTGTATACACCAAGACCTCTCCAGGATATTGTCTGTTGGTACGTGAGTCGGGAAGTAACTGTCATACGTGGAGTGTCGTTTCTACACAACAAACAATGATGATAACTCCACCAACTTCACTTATCCTTAAACTCAGTACAGACTTCATAAATTAACTGGTTACTACTGCATTTAACTTTCAAGTTTTGTATAACATCTTTGCCATTTAATAAAACAATGTCTACTCTTCTCACTACTTTTTTTAATGATAAAAGTGTAACTTTTATGCATTTTGGTGTTGGTCTCCATAACAATATTAAATTTATTACTCACTAAAATTTTCTTTTATCAATATCTATACCCTTATATACATTAAACAGCTAAAGTGAAAGACTGAAGAAACACATCCCACTGCATTAGAGAATATGTGGCAATACTTAATTGTCCATGTTGTCATGAGTCATGTGTCAGCAGTCTACTATTATAACAGTGGTCTCTTCACAATTAATCCAGGCCAAAAAAAAAAGGTCAAGATATAATTTTTACACTTTACATAAATCTTAAGGAATATTATTATTAGTAGTAGTAATTCATAATCTTCAGTAAAAAATGCATTATTTTTTGTTACAAGGAATTACAGCTCTCAAACCACCAGCAAAAAACTTTATTTAGTAAAGAGTTTTAAAAGTTTAGAAAGTAATCATGCCACATGCTTAGCAATAACTTCAATTCCCCTAAATGAGATTAAAATTGCTTTCTATATCAAGGCCTCAAGAAAGTTCTACAACAAAAGATTCTAACATCATCACTGTCATATAAACTAATAACAAGAACCAACAATGCTGAGGTATAGAGAGGGAGATAGATATTACACCAAAAAGCCAGACAATATCTATATTTTTGGTGCCAAGACTTCCTTTTTTTTTTTATTTTTTTTTTTTTGCTAATTGTGATCTTTCATTGCTATTCTGAGCTTTTATTCCCAATATCACAAAGTATCCATTTACTTCAAAAAGGCTTACAAAAAAATTATCTAAAAGAAAGTATGAAAATATCAGAAAGACTTCACATGCAGAAATCTCCTTAATATATAAGCCATGGCTCAGTGGACATACGAGGACCAACCTTCCAGCTGTGTAGGAAACATTAGGGCTAAATAAGCACTCACCTACGCAGTCAATTTAACAGAAGTCCCATTATATTAGTCTGTATTAGCGAGGGGTTCAGAAATACTTCACACTGACTGACTCTGTTTCCAATAAATAAAAGACAATTCAAGATATATATTCCAAGAGTTCATTACTAACCAAACTTCCTTTAACTGTATTTTTCCTGAAATTATCTATTATTTCTGGTTACTGTACTTTTGAGAAAATCCAGTCCTTCGAACTAAACCCACAAGATACTTTGACACATGCTGGTACACATAGATTCTCTTGTGTTCTCATTTTGAAACTTGAGTGACCTGAGGCCAGAGGCAGACAACACAGCAGTGGCTAATTTCCCAGAGATACCAGGAGTACATATCTAAGGTTATGGTGAAGAGCTACTCATTTTAAATTTTAACAAATGATATTCTCTCACACCCAGCAATACCACTGTTTCCTGCCTCATGTATAAAATACATTTCTAAAGTAAGAATTATTTTACTTAGTTACTCTTCAATACTTCAGGTTTCCTTAATGCTTAGTTTCATCAAATGTCATTCTACTGTCGAGAAAACCTTGAATATATTTTGACAATGACATTCTATCGCACTCACTGACACTACTGCTTCTCACCAAATACATTCACTGGTGAAATATTTTTATTTTTACAGTAAACATTATTTTTACTTGGATAATCTTAAAACACAGTACAGCTGTATGTGTACATAGTGATCAGTGCAAATAAAGAAATTTATTGCATGGAGACAAAGGCAATCAGAACAGATGGGCCATACAGGTCTGTCAACCTAATAAACCTCACTCAAAGGAACAGAATAGGAGTGTCATGCCTCAAGTAAAAAATTATTCCCTTTACCTTGAACTATGTTAAGTACACTGAACCCTCACATCTGATATTCACAATTCTATATTTTGGCATAATTCAATACTGTTTGTCCATACAGATGTCCTCAAACAATTTCACATTATTCTGTGGTGTCCCCATAGTGAAGGGGTTAAAGGGAAAGCTTACAAGACACAAGGGTGATGCTGTACATGTAAGCATTGCATGTCACACATCGAGTTACTGACCCAACATATGTGCAGCTGGTAGGTTAACCATAGTATCTACAAATGAAGGGAGATCATAGTACATATTCTTTGTACAGTATTCTAGTTCTTTGTAAGTGCAGCCCATTATAAAATATCAATTCAAGAAAATGAAACTTGTTGCATACGGTATCTTTCTCAGATAAAAGAATCTTTCTAGGATACACAAAATCACAAATTAGCAAATAAATAAATAAAAAAACTTAGGAGAGCATCATTTACATATAAATTTCTCAAAGATAGTGAAAATATCAGTGTAACTTTCTTTTTTTACTGTAGTGTACTATAATAAAAATTTAGTGTGCAGTCCTGAGCAACACTATGATCACTAGCTTCTACTGTTTTCCAACTCTCCATCTATCCTGGTCCGAGAGAAAATTTTCTATATATAATAACCTTCAGTTATAGTTTCTTTAAATATGATTTGAATTTTGTATATAAAATAGTAAATTTATACATATACAGAGAAAAAAAATCCTCATGATTGTACACTTCATAAATGATGAATGTGGTGCTCACCTGCTGAATAAGCTCAGTTGGAGGGATGTCAGTTGTGCGGTTAGTGTAGTGAGGTCCCTGTGGCTGCATTACAATATTAGCTTCCTGGACAGGGATCCCCAAGCTGGCTGCTGTCATGCCACCCTCACCAGTAGTGCTGCCACCAGTACCACCCTACCACCAACACCAAAGTTAGTTAATAATAAATCAGGTTAATGAACTTAAGGTAATTTTCTTGGTATGTAGCAAATGTGGTGACTTGATCTGAAGTAATGTTGGCAAATTTAAGTATCAGTACCTGAACAACCAACACTATGTCACATTTCTATACAAACTATTAGATAATAGGAAAAAATACTTATACTGTATAAATCTTACATACACATGTATACTCTTTCAAGCCATTTCCTGTATACTGTAAAAGTGGCTGGAAACAAGAACAAATACACACACATTTTTCCTTTATTCATTTTTCTTCTTCCAGTGAATCTTGTTATACTTTACTTCCTTCCTTCCCTCACACAGACCCAAATCTATTTTACCTTTCACTTAACACAAGCCAGTATTACCAATCAGCAGTACCTCCCCTGATATACACACACATTTTATATATACAGTACATATAACACGATCAAAGAGCTCAGACACTTAAATATCATTATTAAAAAAATATCAAGTAAGTGTCTGTATTTAGCATCATAAGACATCGTACAGCTAGATATGCCACATTGCCACTGAAGCACCAGCTAAAGTACTGTATTGTATCTGAATCCATCGTGGTACTTGAAACTTTGAGGCTGTACACATCCCTCACTTTGGAGTTAGTTGTGTGGTACAAGTGTGCACACTTACACATCATGACAAATTTAAACTCTTCACAAAATGTTGTCTTCTGGTATCTGAGTGGAGCCAATATAAAGCCCGTAACAGACACAACCCTCTAGTTACACACTAGCACCCCAGTCATACCCGTAACACATACATCACACTGCAAGATGAAAGCAAATGTTCTATAATTCATATAAGAATGGAATTTGAAATTACTTCTGTTAGAGTTTGATGTGAATGAGGTATAGTATTTATATTCAGGCAGAGGTAAAATTTCTATTCAATAATAAATTCCTTCAATAAAAAAGTGTACTTGTTAACTTATTAATTAAAGCGGTTAAATTTACAGAAATGAGAAGTATGTACAAGTTTTAATTAAAAACTTATCAGACACAATTGCGAAAAAATATCTTCCCGAGATAATTATAAACAAGTTTTCTATTTCCCATTACGGTATTTTTTTTATGTAATGTTCAAATGTAAATAAACATGATCAGATTTCATTATCCATATTCCTTGTAACTAAACAAACAAAATACACATTAATCTTTGAGACAAGACATAATACTTTTTCATAAGATTCCTTCACTGATATTCAAGAAGCAGTGTTGTGATCATGCTGGTAATTAATCAGTGAGATGCAAGGTAATCACTCCAAATATTTAGAATGCACGACATAGGGACACTGACGAGTAGAAATGAGTCGCTTGGCTTTATAGTTTTATCTATTATTCATTATGCTACATAGAATTTACCAAGTAGAAAAATCTTTATGCAAGAATTGGTTTGTGACCCCCCCAGTGATAGTCAGTGCCTAGCTCATCATAACTCTCACCACCCACTTCTTGTCTTCCTCTTCATTCTATTTAATTTCACTAATTGCACTCAAGTTATTACCAGTTTTTCTACCATATACAATGAAACCTTTGTAATCAGACCACCTAAGGGAATAAAGTCAGGTGTGTGTGTGGAGAGAGAGGTGATCTGAATATATATAAGCAACAACTTGGCCACTCCAAGACAAATCTCACTTCCATTTAAAACAACAGGTGAATGTTGGTCACAATAAGTGTTCACACCATGTGGAATGTGTATACAACATGCAGACTAGGTGAACAGTGGCACCCCACAAATTTGGAGATGTTCAGATTGCTCACTACTTTAAGTGACTGCGGGAGCAAAATTTGTGGCTGCAATTCCTAATGCATAAGAGGTCACTATATAATATGCGACTTGTCACATTATACAGGTGGTCTGAGAACAGTGGCAGTTAGTTATGGGAGTTTCCACAGTAAAAGTGTTTTTATTCCCTTCAGTATTAGCTTTTTACAACATATGTTTTATGAGATCAATTTTACTGGCAACCTAATTCTACTACTTTTCTGCATCAAGAAGTAATCAGTGTATCATCACCATGACACAAGATGGATGTTAGTAGTACTGTGCATATAGACATGCAGTCAAAAGGCTTTCTTAAAATAAAACTAATAAATATAAGAGAGAGCAGGCATAGTAGAGAAGGTAAGTAACTAAAAACTTCACAGAAATGTGACTAAAAAGTAGATAAAAAAACATGGAAACAGACTAATAAATTCTTAGTGATGTCTTACATAACAAATTATAAAGAGAATTGTATGTTCTCTTAGGTAACAGAATATAAATGTTGCTTCATTTAACAAACTAAAAACAAAAGTTGAATGAAACGATATGAAAAATCTGAAAAGAATTTAACGTAAATTAAATGAGAAGAAAATCCTGAAATAAATAACATTAATAATGATGAGAAGTAGTTCAGCAGAGAGGTAAGTGGTTGACCCCAGGCTCTCAGGACCATTACTCTTCTCTCCCACACTGACAGTTCATTGTTAGGGAGACTCGCATTGTAGCTCAACGATTGGTCACCCATACACACACACATACTTAATAATCTTTCTCAAACACTTGTTATTTTCAATTTTTATTTCTTCCTGCTTTTCTTTAACTTTATTTATGTTTTTCAAGATCTATTTTCACCTTTGCATAATGTACAGTATTAGCACAGACACGTCTCAAATTATTCACTCTCTTTTATTTGTTAGTACTGTATAAGAATATCATGTGACTATTTTCTGCTATAGCAAAATCAAGATGCATGTCTTTAGCACAGGATTCATTGGTTATTACAGTGTTTTTGGCTCTCAGAAGTATGATAATGTCTTGCAGCTTAACTGTTAGGGATTTTATCTGCACATCACCATGCTGGTGCTATTGATACTACTGACAGACAAGTACAGCACAATATAATGTTTTAACATTTAGGTTAAATTTTCATGAATATAAACCTATTTGAAATTCTACCATAATAAAAAACTTGTCATTCTTTAGAATCTACAGTCACCTAATCAAGCATGATGGAGTAACAAATCACTGCTGACTACATTTACTGTCCTGTCACACCTTCCCTTCATTCTGCCCATCACACATCTTCACTCCTTCATGTGTCCTAACCTCAATATGAATAAAATATTTGCTGCTTGTTGTGCTGATTTAACCACCATACAAATGAGAAAAGTCAGTATTTATTTGCAGAAAGAAATGGGAATATAAGATGGTACAGTACTGGGTTAGTCCCAGGACATCTTGACATGTAAAAACAAGAAGGAAGCAACAGAGGATGAGTGACGTACATGAAAATAATAATACTGTATACAAAATCAAGAAGGAGACATTGGAATATCTCTTGGTAGAGAAATAAAGTAATGAACTCCATGCTGTCTATCAAGAACTACAATGTTCTTATTATATTATTTTCATCTCTTCCTTGCTACTTTACAATTACGTACTTCAATAAACACACTTGCACTTTTCTCCTCTGTATAGTAACTGGTTTAATATCTTCATTTTATGACAATTTATTTCTTCGTTAATACAAGCCAAGGAAAGCAACTTCGCTCAAACTAAAGTGTTAGTTTTTCACTAAATGTTTTAACCTTAACACAAGAAACAATAGAGGTTGTCAGTGTCAAAATTTAAAAAAAAAAACTGTAATGACCTCCTCTAGATGCAACAATACATGTACAGGTATTGATAAATAAAATACACTGAACCCTTACTACAAAATTCAATATTTTGGCCAAGTTATTATTATTATATTTTTTATACAATTTCATATTACTCATGCTTCCCAAAAGAATATATTTTTTCTACAGAATAGAAAACATTTATGAGCATTACTGGCATTTCTTTGTACAGACTTCACAGATACGCTTTGAAAAAACAAGGTCATTTCAGATACACTGGAAGGCAAGTTGTTATCCTCCTTATCACCACCATCACCGTTATTTGGTTATTTTCCATGCTTGTGTGGGTTAGCCAACTGAAACTAATGAAATTATCTATACTGTAGTTATCAGTTTTACAAGTTTTGTTATGTCCTGCACTTCTGAAGGTTTCTAATGAAAATTTTCACAAAGCAGGAAACTATATAAAGTAATATACTACAAGTAGGTCACAACCCTTTCATCTGCCTGTGACACAAAGTTACATAATAATAAGTAAAAAAAATCATTATAATAACAGCGTGATTGATGAAAAACAGATGAGTAAATACAGAGCAGTAGTCTTGCCACCAGTAACACGCCTTAACCCTTAAATGATGACGAGGTTTTTACGTAGACCATTGACTCTGACGGGTTTTAAAAATTGGATAAGATTATAAAATTTTCTAATGAAAAGAACAAGATTTGCTCAGTGAATACAGTGTATCAGATTTCCCGTATGCCTTACGAGAACCCCAAACAATGGGAAGGAAGATACTGTGTATGTGACCTGGTGGGTGGTATAAGGGTGTTGCCACGTGCTCCAGCTTTGGACCTGTTGTTTGATTCATATTATGTTCTTGTATATTGAGCTTCTTATCGAGTATGATTAATCATAAATAATAAAACATCTTCAATAATAGAAAAAATACAGCACAGGTACAGTATCAAATTTGTAATTTGGCCCAAAACTAAAATGATAATCAGTATCAGAAGGTATCACTTCCCTGACCCCTCATTACTTCCCGTGACACTGTAGAATAATGCAAAATTTCAATGACTCGGAAACCATTTATTATGACAAATAAAATCAAACGGGGTAACAAGATGAAAATTACATTATTTTTATTAATTTTTTTCATTTTATAATAATGGAGACTTGAGACTTGATAGGGCTGGGTTTACATGGAATGTGGATTTGAGTTGTGATAGTATAGTCGGGACTTGTCCCTGAACTGTACTTCCCAAACACAGGTGTCCTCAGATTAGTCATATTTCTTTGAGTAATCATAATGAACAGCTTTATGGTCCAAATCATTGCCACTACTCCAGTCTCCTGAACCATGAACACCTCAAGCACGTGTTAGAGATGCATTCCTACTTGGTACATGTGGAGAAGCACTTTTACCTCACTTTTGTTGTTGTTTTCCTCCTGGCACTTCTATGCTGATGACTAGATCTTCAGTGTTACTATAGCCGAAGTTCTCACATAAGCTATCATTTCGAATTAACTCGGTGAATCTACCAGTTCTTTAATCTCACTCTCTGATTCCCATAGTAATTTAGTATTTTTCTGGGTGTCATGGCAACACTACTGCAGTGAAGGGTCTTTCTCACAAAGCATAAAGGAAATCTCAAGATATTTTCTACATGACAACAAAATTGCTACTGGTGGAGAGAAGGGCATGAGGAGGGACCAATGCGGGGAAGGAAAAGTTAAGGGTCACAATTATTCACTTGAGCAGAAATCAGGCAATACACTTAAACTATAGTGCCTAAGTCCTCTTTTGCGGGACAAAAGGCCTCATCATCTATTCATGCTCACCGTCACTTAAGGGTTAAAAATAAGATCCTTGCACCTATTAGGACGTCATGTAAATATTCACATAATGAATTTACAACATGTAATTTTCTTGACATCATACACATAGAAAATAAATTCTTTGTTATCTAAAAAACAGCGAAAACGAGTAAAGAAAAGAAATTGACTGAGAAAGCAACAGTACAGCATATTAAATAATTTGAACAATGGAGATGTTGCAGTGAGGTTAGTAATACAGCCAGGAAACCAACAGTCATTAGATACCTGCCACCCAATTATAACATCTGTTCTGAGTTTAAGCTTACAGCAGTGGACAGTACGGTTCAGTTTTCATGCAATAAACAATGAAAATGGCTTTGCCTGTAACCCGGTTTATGCCAACAGAACAAGCCATAACAGATGTTACCAAAACACAAGAAAAGACAGTGCCTAAAAGTTATGTCAAGCATTTGTACGATAGGACATTGACAAGCCCAGGTGAATAGTAGCAACAGATCCTTAGGCTGGCCAAGGAACAAGAACCGTGGGGTGGCGCCCACCTCAGGAGCCAAAACGTGGAAGAAGGCTGGGCAGGTTTTGTAGTTGGTAGACGGCGACCAGAGGGCCCGTGTACACCGCGATGCCCCAGAATTCAGCACCTACAACACTTGGCCATCAGGGCTGAACTCATATACAGTGGGACCTCTTCCAGCTCATGTCATACAGGCATACACCTCATGTTTATGTTCCTCTACCACACTTCACAAAGATCAAATATAATACCATGTACAAGATACATGACAAACTTAACTTTGTGTCAGTTAACCAAAATCAATTATTCAGTATGTGAGGATCCACTGTACATGCATCCACATAGACACACCAATAGCTAATATAAAGCTTTATAGAAACTACATCACTGATTAATCTTTTAAGAATATAGGAAGCCGTTTAAAGGAATAAGGAGGAGTGTAACATATTAAAATAAAATCATAAAAAAAAAATCTTGTATATGAAAGGATATATAATACCCTGAACGGCTGTTTTCTGAAAGGTCTGAATCAAATGAATAAGAAAATTAAAGCAATCACAAATGTGCAAGCTGACTACAAATTCTAAATGGAGACATATGCTGAAAAACTTTACTGTATTAGTGTATACTAAGACAGGAGTGGAAATTAACAATAACACAACAGACAACACATTCATCCTGGGAGTTAGGTTAAGTTGCAGGAACATTAAAAGCACACAGTACCCATATCTTCCATGCTATTTCTCTAATGTCACAAAGAGACAATCATGCCATAAATTAGAATATGTTTTATAAATAATGTATACTATATAAAAATCAGAAAACAATATTTTAAAATATAAAAATAATCCAAGTGTATATACTGTGGGTATAAAACATAACATGAGTTTAAACAAATCACAGGTATACTATATATTGTAGTCTAATCCTAACTGCATCTTGTGTAGTTAACCAAGAATACAATTTCAGGATACTGTACAAACTTCTAAAGTTAAGACTCACCCCTGCGAGCTGCATGTTAAGCTCTTGGCTGAAGGTAGGGTGGGAGGCCAGAGATATGGGAGTCCCAGGGTGGCTGGGGCCAGAGAGTGGAGGCATCGAATGTGAAGAAGATAGTGTAAGAGGAGGGACTGTGCCTCCAGATGTTCCCAACTGCTGTAGTTTACGAGCCAGCTCTGACAGGTTGCTATTGGAAGTTACACTGAAAAAAAACAATCATCTATCACTCAGCATTTCATGGCTTTCTACTCTTCAAACAGAATGCTGAATGTACATTTTACCCAAAAACCACCTGCCATCACATTTCATTATGAATAATTAGGGTATCACTTTCTGCTGTTTTCATTATTTTATATAAACACAAAGATGCTTATCTTCTTTCTCCTAAACTAGGACATAAAAAATAAGACTTCAGCACACTGTAATTAAAATATTCCCACGTTAGGGCTCAATCCCAGTGTCCTGGAGCTCGTCCATGTCTCTGAGTTCATGTGGGTTCAAGTTGTATTTGATGGAGTAGATAAGTAAATGAAGATAATATCCGTTATAAATCACTCAAAATATATTCGTGGATATATCTGGCATCTTGTCGAGTGAAGGTGAGTGTTGGTGTTTAGAGAGGATAGGGTAAGCATTTGTTGACAGTGCTTGACAAGCTTCTATATAGAGTAGAGGTGATTGCTCTCGCTCCCTGTTCTACCTCTAATACCGCTGTCTTGCACTATCTAAAAATATTTATAAAGCAAGATCCAGTTTCAGTTAAGTGGTTGCTTCATAAGCCACAAAACAAACTGTATAATAGGATGAATCCTTTGGTTGGTTTGCTCAACTCAAACCTTTTAACCATAATGCAACTTACAAATTCCATTTTCCCTTCCTCTCACCTACTGTCAATATGGGTGGTGTTATGTGGGTTCCTTTCTAAGAGTAAGGTACCAGTGAAATATCAAGTACTGTTTCCTATATAAAGGAAAGCAAATTACAGTAGAGTCATTAATAACAAATATAAATGAATTACTATATGGATGGACTGAAGAACAATGCCCCTAATACTGATACATATTAACCAAGAAATAGTATTACTGTATAGCCAGAATGATACCTTATTCTTTGCTGAGTCATCTATATGTCAGAAGAGTATACCCAACAAACCCCTTGCCTATATTATATGCTTATTTCTAGTATCTTAAAATATTTCACTGTGTCACATATCAGGAAGAGCTTTACCTGTCATTCTTCTCCAGAGAATTTTGCTGAGAGAGTCTGGCCTGGTGATCAGATGTGTAGGTACTCTCTGGGGTGCAGTGATGTGGTGGGGTGGGTCCTCCTGATCCTGGCTGTGACGTGGGCACAGCTGCTGACACGCCAACACCAATACTACTGACTGAACCATCACTCTGTGACGAATGAGATACACCAGCGTTAATTTCAGAGCATTATATTGCTCCCAATGCTACAGAATTAATCAAGTACTGAAATAAAATACACACATACACACCACATTCCTAGGTACTGTCTTACCTCCCATAACATATAACATGGAAGATTAGCGTGAAAAAAAAATTACTTTTTTATAATTTCCTCATCGCATCCAGTAATATTATCAAGACAAGTAATTACAATGGTATTTATATGAATACTTAAAATTTTGGTGTCAAGAATGAATAAAAAGTTAAATACTCTGTATGCTATAAGTTGAACATGGTTGAAATAAACTACAGTACTGTATACAGTATCATTTAAGTTCTTTTATTATTAGCATATTCTGTTTTTCTTCTTCAAAATACGTAATGTAAAATATTGACAATTCAAATGTCATAGTTAAGGCCACGGAAATCACACCAAGTAACATGAATGTCTTAGGATATGAAGAACAAATTAACTGCTAATAATTAATACATTCATAACACAACAACACTAATAATGTTTTAAAGTTACCCAAATTCAGGCAGAAAATACGTAACAGACTTCGGAAGTGTTTTTTTTTCTCTCACCACTCTTATGCCACTTGACCAACTGTTAAGTATGATTACATCGCTTTACTATCATAATTTTTGGACCTACTTGGGTGAAAATCCCCACTTTGACTCCTGGAACCCAACCTCAATGACATCATACTAAAACATGTTCTGCAATTGTTCACTTATCTTTTGAGTTTTCAGGAATGCAACTTGATCGTATTATCATCTTCTACATTCATATATTGTAATGCTATACGATTTGAGACATGGTACTGAGAGAAGAAGGTTGATAATGTGAAGGTTTCAGTCAGGTGCCATATCGTCTACTAATTCTTATTATGTTTTCATGTTTTTTGTTTTTATAAATGTTAACCAGGAATCTAAACATTTCTGTATAAAGTAGATTGTTGAATTGTTACACATTTACCAAAGGAAGCAAAGGCAAACAACAATAATGTTAAGAAAGTACTGTATGAAATACGAGTTAGTGGCAGTGGGCAGTAACAAAGTGATGCTCACAAAAGGCTAGCAGACGCACCCATGAGCAAAACTTTATTTTTTGTTTTTCTCATCAATAACAAAGCAAATTCAGTGAAGCCTTATTTATGCAGAGAACTATAATGTGTGATAAATAAAAAAGAATTTAACACTCACCTGATATGGTGGGAGAAATTGTTTTAAAAGACTACAGTACTCACAGTAGTGCCACCAGTGCCCAGTTTTATATTTTAAAAGATGAAGTGTAATTTGAAATGACGTAATTAAAAATACTGTACTAATTTATGAAAACTATTAATAGCTTTTTACTAAATGTGCTTAGAGGAAATACAAGTTGAATTTATATATACTACAGTACTGCATAACACTCATTACAATATAAGATGTGCATTTTGATGGGTGGAAACAGGGAAAAGGACACCCTCCCAATAATGAACAGGGCTTACATGAATAATTTTACCCTATTTACCTAACAGTCACCCACTAGAGGTGGCCACGCCAAGGGAAGGAAGCCAGTGGCCTGTGTAGGATCCCTAGTCCATTATTGGGAGGATTTATTGTATTATAATAGGAGATTTTTTTTTATTTGTTTATGTGTTGACAGCACATTGACAATGTACATTTATTTAAATCTGGAATCTTAATATTTTTCTTTATGTAATCCCATCCAATATATTGAGGTTATATAGTTAATTGTTTTGCTTTCAATGCCAGAGTAAAGTTTTCTAAGAATTTCTATCAGCATCTGATCTGGTGTTGGCTAATTTTAGACTGTAGCATAAAGTGAGGAATCCATTAATTCTTTGTTTTACATTTTCTTCAGATTCCCTCCCTGGTGTCAGATGTTGGTTTTAAATAATATTAATGTCAGAAGCAGAAGATTTATGGTTTTGCCTTGTTTAATAAGTAGTAAAAAGGGACCAGTTACAATTTAAATTTTTTACTTGGGAATGATCTTGGAGATGAAATATGCATCTAAAGGGTTAAACATATACAGTATTGAGTTCAAAATACTGATCCTGACTTGGTAAACATTGTTATATAGAACAAACCCCCAAAACCACAGGGAAGCACTGCCACAAACACATGCTGTTTACATCATGATTACCAGCATTCCAAACTTTAATTTTGTGTATTCAAATATTGTATATATAATGTGAGAATAGCAGTTAACTTATTGTCTCTTCTTCAACAAACCTTGGAAAGTGACTGATACAATTAAAGTACAAAAGTTTTTTTTTTTTATAAAATACAACACATGAACCAAGCTATTGCTGGCAGGGTGTAAACTGATAGGTAGAATGTGGCAGTAGTGAGAAAACTTTACCTGCTGGTCTTGTGATGGTGGGAGCACAATAGAGGCAGAGGAGGTTGGTACGGATGGAAGCAGAGCAGCAGTAGAGGAAGCAGGAATGGAGTCTGACTGAGGGGATTCATCCAGGAGAGGGTTAGGAGTGGAAGCTATAGTTTCCACTTGTTGCTGGACAGATGGGCCACCTGACTCTTCACCAGGCATCTGCTTGCGCTCTACCACAGGACTCACCAGGAAGCGAGACGTCCTGAAAGCCTAAGATCACAAGCTTGCTGTGTCAGCCAGAAGTTGAAAACACAGCACTCATACAATATACAGTACTGCAGCATGCTCCTACTAACACTGCCTCGGTTATTAAAAATGGCTGTGCAAGGTTCTAAGTGCTTGTTTTAATTCACATCACTTTCAAGGATCTAATAATCATAGGAGTCGAAAGACAAACAAAATAAACATTAATGATGAAATATCAAACTTGTAGAAAAAATACATAAAAGCAGTTAGTGCACTTGACATCTTACGAACAAAGTACGCCATAGTTTTCATCTGAATTCTCAAACGATTTTAAATTAAACTTACGGTAAGTTCTGGTCCAAAAATCTTTAACATTAGATAAAAGATGAAGCAAAGCAATAAAGGGAATTAAATCGTTTAAGGAGCATGTTCCACACCTTACATTTTGCACCACTACAGTAATTAACATTTCTTGGTTATCTGCTTATCTTTTTCATACTTCTGAGCACTTTCACCTGCAGCATTTTTTTTTACCGGTCTTTCCAAATGTGTTCCTCTTCGGTGTCTCCCTTCTACAACAAGGTCTCAATATAATACAATGAATCTGTCACTAAACATTGCATGCAAAAGATTCGAAGGTAACTCTCACAATAAATGTGAACAAATACCAAACATTTATTTAGCCATGAAAGAAAGAAAATGTAGAGAATGTTTTCCTCAGGTACACACTACAGTATCAAATGGTGTGCTCCTGGAAAAGCAAAGTGCCCAACATACTGCTACAAAATGAAGTTACAGAGAACAAAGAAAGTGATGATACAAAACAAACAATACTGTGAAGGACAACCCATCATGCTGTCAAATATGATAAAATACCGACAGAAGATATTCTTGGAATGTTCATGATAATTATTGGAAAAAAATAAATGTGATAAAATCAAATTGGTAGTTGCTTCAGGCAATGCATATACTTGTACAGTGGTCCCTCGGTTAATGAACACAATTCGTTCCGGAGGGTCGTTTGTTAACCAAAAATTTTGTTAACCGAATCCATTGTTTCAATGGCATATTGGGTAATTGGTTCCAGCTCACCGAAAAGTACATACAAAGTATAAAAAAAAGAAAAAAAAAAAGAAAAAAAAATGCAGTAAAGTACACTAACTTTGAGGTGTGTATGTAGAAGGTTCCTGGTTGTTGATGATGATGGAAATTAGAAGTGGGGGTGGAGAAGAAGGGAGAAGAGAAGGAAGTGGGGATGGAGGAGAAATCACCTTTTAGGGGACCCATGCTTGATGCTGTCATTTCACCAATAAAATTTTAAGTTCACTAGGTGTAATTCAAGATTATTTTATTTAAATCAACACTGCACTGTGCTATATATTATGAATATGTTAACTAAATTTCAGAATGACCAATAATTTCAATGTAAAAATGCAAAAATATTCAAGACACCAACAAAATAGATGTTCACTCCACTGTCAACAAGGCCCAACTGATGCCTGGTGGCTGAGTCAAGCGTCTGATGGGCGCACAAAAAACTAGTTCCCTGTACTGCATATATTATCAATATGTTAAATAAATGTTAAAATGACTAATAATTTTAATATAAAAAATGCAAAAATATTAAAGAGCACAACTTTCGTGACATTTACTCCACTGGAAACGAATGTAAACATAGAACAGATAACTGAATTGGCAGACTAACCCATCAGCTGATGCTCACAACAAAACGCAATGTTCGTAAGGATTTTGTTAATCAAATTTTTGTTCGTTAACCGAATTGAAGATTCTTTTGGAAGGTAATTCGTTAACCAAAATTTCGTTAACCGAACCGTTCGTTAACCGAGGGACCACTGTACAGTACAGCTTATGGACAAGTGACCAAAGCAGTTAGATATTTCTTGTACAGAACTCATTACTAGCAGAAATTATCAAAGAAACATTAGAAGCATAATATACATAAAACCTCTGTTAAGTTTATTTACCTGTGGTTGTTGTGCTGGTATATGTGAAGTTGAAATTGGTTGCTGAAGAGCACATACTACAGGAGCATTAACTGAAGGTTGTTGTGGTTGTTGGGTCTGTTGTTGCTGTGTTGTCTGTGGCTGAGCTTCCTGCTGTTGTTGTTGTGGTATTGAAGGCTGTGGAGACTGTGGCTGATGCACAGGGCTTGTTTGGACTTGAGAAGATGGTTCTCTGGGTTCAACACACTTGCTGGGAGTCCCAGGAGCACTGTCTCCCCCTTCCTCACGCTGCAGCAAACAAATAAACGAATACAGTATATTAGGATATTTCTTTTACCTATTGAGTGAGTAATAAAGAGAAAATTCAAACTGATAAGACATAACCATGCATAAATTGGTATACAGAGCAGATACTTTTATATTACAATACTGTATTAAGAATGTAGGCAAAGCCTCACATTCATATCTTTGTTGTCTAAACCCAAAACTATATCAACTAAAGCTTTTACTGCATTTTAGCTGCAATTTTTAAAGATTAATAATTGAAATCTTAAAAGATATTAAGCTGTGTGTGTATACCTATCATGAGTGTTACAAAGGATTATCGTCAGTAATGTCCTATGTAAAATCTTCCAGCTGCAGTGTGTACATCACTTATTAATTGCAATTTTCTGCAAACTTTGATGAACAGCATGCAGCCTATAAGATGTTCAATCTAAAAGAAATGCATTTTGAAAACTAATAGTTACCTCTAGTTCAGTCAGAGCCGGCTACTCCCACCATGAAAAATTAACAGACGCAAATATTCATCCAACAGATTAATTTAGGCAGATGTAGTATGAAACCTTAGCAGTAAACATAAGAATTAATTAATCTACCAACATGTGTGTCACTAAAAACCTAAAGGTACATCACTGGTTTGTGAGAAACTATGAGGAAGGCCTTGTGTGTGATATACACTTACAACTGATTTATAAGGGAGAGGAATGGAGAACATGACCAACAATTAATTGACCTTACTTTAGGAGGAAACACACACAAGACATGAATAAGTATGTAAATAAGACACTAATTCCATAAATTATTTTTAGAAGCCTTACCATCCCTGTATATGATAAGAATAAATCAACATAAAACATAACAAAAATAGGGGTACTCTACATGTGTTGACAGTCTCCATAAACACCCCTAACCTTGTGCTGCTTCCAAAATGTTTACAGAATACATAAATGGTGGTCAAGTGGTATAAAGCAGTGCAGTTCACAGGTGAAGATGACTGTGTTATGGATGCTAACTCTTAGTTTAGAAGTGACAAAAAATCTTGGTCCAGTTTAAAAAACATGGTTAAAATCATATGATCATTGAAATAAACACATTAAAGCTGCAGCAAACAGGAGGAATACTTATTGTGTATTACCTGGATTTATGCTATTAAGGGGTGACCCTCTGAAGAGAGATAATCACTACAGTATCATTTCACATTTTGAAACAAGACACACACTTAGTATGAAACAATTGTAAAATTAAAGTAAGTGTAATTCATTAATCATTGAATAGTAAATTGTGCTATAAATTCTTTTGTTAAAATATTCTACAGGTATAAGTATAAGAATACAGAAAGCAAAAAGATATACACAATGATATTACTATTATTTCCATAATGACTTGATAAAGAGATATTCTAATTGCTTGGAGGATTACAGTACAGTATATATGCCTAAGTATCTAAATTAGATCCTTCTACAGTACCACCCTATAAAACACAAGTACTTCTTTATTGTTATAGAGTTCAAATTTGTGAATCTTTTATGGCAGTGTGATAAGAGTGGAAAAAGGCTTGAACGAGTGAAAACTAAGTACCGTATAGATTTAGTAAAATTTGGCCACTGTCATCCATGGAAGAAATAGTGCAAAAGAAGAACAGTTTCTTTTACCCACAGACATTTGTTTTTCTTTTGGGCAAAATTCACTTTCCTGCCTATTTGGCAGTCTACAGGACATTCTCAAGTTCCACACCATTCTACAATAACGTGTTATTTCCGAGATATATGTTTTTATTTACTCTAACCACCTAACTCTTTTCAATCATTTTTAATCATATTTAGAAGAAACGATTGCTTCACTAGCATGTCAGACAAACCAACACGCACCTTCTTTAGAAAAACTTTTGAGCGTTGTTGTTGGATCTCCAATACCTTAAAGTGCGAGAAAGTGAGCCACCGGTGCATGTGGAAAGTTCTGCATACACCACCATGCTAAAAGTGCAGGACAAAGTGTGGTACGGCAACTTGACCAGGAAGATATACAGTAGTATATATATCAAGGTGTGAAACTTCTTTATGAGCAATACCTGTAGTCCTCTCAATAGGTAATGGGCAATATAATTTTGCTGTGATGCTGTGAGGACATCACATTAGCATATGAACAAAGGTAGTAGCTACAGAATACCTGTAGAAGGAATGAATGATGGAGTATTTGGGTAAGGAAGGTTTGTGAAGAGTGATGCTGTACATGGATCGAGACTCTGCGCACACCATCCTGGAAGACAGTAGGAAATAATCTGATCTGAGCTAATTAAAGTTTCTGGCTGTCTGTGCACCAACCTTCAGGGCCTACAAAGTATGACATTATTGGTCAAATGCAAGCATATTGCTGAAAGTCTAAACTTAAATCTTTTGACTATGCAAACTAAGCTCAGTGATTGGTCAACAGCAGCATCAATAGACATGGCAAATTAATAAAACCAAGAGCCTGCTGCACTAATACGCTGCTGTATAAGATAACATGTGAACTCCCATGCACAGTGTGCAGGTGGCTCAGCATGTCTACAGCTGACAGCTACATTACTTGGTGCTACAGTTAACAGCTAAGTTATGAGGCTCAGATAATTCAGGGTGGCTGTCCACTCACAAGAAGTATGAACTAAGGCTTTTCCTATGCTTAAGATCTCATGAATGTAGACAGGTAGGTAAATGGTCAAGTGAAATCTGGCACTTTGTAAACTTTCCAATATTAAATAATTTTTGCCATAAAAACGTCATATCCAAAATTCAAAACAATGATCCATGAGGACTTTTCTTTCAAGTCATAACTCGAACTAACACAAAGAGAGGCTCTCTCCCCTGCAGACTACCTAGTATAGTGTTCATTTGGTGATGGGTCATGTTGGCCAGAAATTTTACCCAACTGCCTGACCAAGACAATCAGAGGAAATTGCATTGCAGGTCCATGGAATGACTACCTGATATGCTAACCTCCCATATTCCTAATCAATAATATAATGTGTAATGGAATAAATTCCTCCCAAATGACACACACACACACTGTATATCCCAGCTATTCTTTATAACAATACTTTATTATCCTTCTAGTGTTCTCTTGTACATCTTCCCACTTATACAAATTTACTTATATTCACATCTATTCTCTTTACATGTCCACAGTGCTTAAGTCCATCATATATTGATAAAGTATGCAAATGTAAAAATCCAGCACAATCATGATATTCCTAAAAGACAAGTTAAATATAACAGTGTTTAGTTGCGGAGAATAAGGCACTAGTTTAATGGGCTCCCCACAATAGTTTTTAAAAATTCTGGTCTTCACAAAATCTCAGTTATTCAGTCAGGCATGTAGATCTGCAGGTTCACAGAAATTACATCTGGATGGACACATACATGAACATTCATACATACTTCCATATTAAATCTCACTCTTACTTTGACTGTCTGTATGTTTGACCTTACTTGATTCACCAATTAAAATTTTAAAAACTCAAGGCAGTATTCTGTACAGGTATCCCTCGCTATATGAAGGTGTTAGATTCCTCAAAAACAATTCGTTAAGCAAATTTTTGTATAGTGAATAGAAGAACATATGGGAAAAATAGGGTTCGGTTCCATAATGACAAAAAAAACCCTAATATCATACCCCAGAAACATGAAATTAGTTCATGAACAACAAAAATCGTACCTAACTAATGATAAATAGTAAACAACTACTGTATTGCAATTTACTACATAACACATTATAAACATTAATAAAATGACATCTAGATGAGAATATGCAGCTAAAACCATTAGGGAAAAACTAAATGGGAGTTTAACACAGCAGCCATTTGCATAGACGCTGGCTGCTTTATATGTTGACGCCCTCAAGTCTTGCCATAACAACTCGGCCCAGTTAAGGACACTGCCTCTGCCAACCTTAGCAACGTTCCCCCTCCCACTCTTGCATACAAAGAAATGTTTATTCCATTTACGGTTTTTAACCTTATGATAATTATTTCTTGGATTTTTTTTTTTACATTATACAAGTAGAATTGTATGTGCATGTAACTGACAAAAAGAAAGTGAAGAAAGTTTATCCATTCGAAATTAGGAGTTGAAAAATAATCATAACATAACTCCCCCAGCTAATGTTGCTAATTCTTGTTGGTGCACAGAGATTTTTATTCCCTTTGTGTGTTTGCCGGGACTCAAATTCGTATACCTGTAAGCAGGGGAAGCTTTCCTAACACAAAAAAAGAGGTGGTAGTTTAGGAAATTCATATTCGCGAATTTTCGTTTAGCGAGGGATACCTGTATGACCCGAGTTCATTATATCACAAACCTGAGATTTGCTTATTATAAGATACTTCAACACAAGATATACCACTATCCTTTGGACTAATTCTTGTATCTTTCTTAAACTCTTTTATTCTCCCTGCATCCTCTCTATGACTCCTACAAAACTATCTTTCACACCTTATTAACAAACACTAGAGAAAGCTGCACCAATATCTATACAATGTTGTTACAATACACTTTTTTATGACCACTTATTCCTAATAATAATATTAATGTTAATAATTTCTTTGTTTCAAGTGTTATCATCCCTCACCTGAACATCAAATAATTCATCATCTAACATTACATCACAATGCAATAAAACTAACCTACAATACATAAATATTGTGGTAACTTAGTAGAAAGTAGCAAAGCTAAAGCACTATGTTGTTATACCGTGTGTGAGAGTCAGTGCCTGGGGTTCTATGGCCGTGATCTGTGAAGCCTCCACAAAAAGGACTTGAAAGCTAAGCTATGAGTGGAGGAAATGTTCATGATGGGTTATAGGTGTTCATCACTGAGCTCATTATGATTGTTACCTGGGCTACTGTCTACAACTTTGCTATAAAAGATGATTCACAATATAGATTTATCTCTCTTTGCTGTAAGTGACTGAGCCATCCAGTAAGGAACATCCTATCAATATTAAAAAATTCCTTAATCATTGGCAGTTCAATCCTTTCAAGAAATAGTGATGCATACCTAAGGACTTATAAGCTATGGACAAATGGTGTACTTAATAACATATTGGAATGCAAAGAAAGACCAAATACTCTCAGAGCAATGAAGCCATGAGTTGGAAATGTGACATCACAAAAGGAATTACTGCTATAAAGATAGTCTACTGTTCAACTATTATGATTTTATGGTTGTCAATTCAGCCTGACGTATATGGTACTTTATGTTCGAGATAATTTTGAGCCGGGCTTATTTTATTAATTATTTTCTCTTTAATCCTTATGTTTTCATATATATTCTGCATGTATTCATTATAAAGGTTTAAACATGATCTTTCTGTTTATTATTAAGTAAGAAGTCACTGTACAGGTATTGTTCTGATTTTTCTGAATAAAATCTGAATATATATTATGCATCTGGACATATATGAATATAAAAGTGTAAAAAATGCACTGAAAATATTTTGCATGGATAATTGCTATGTGGGTCAGTAATTAAATTAATCATTCGTAATTTTTCCGGGATACTTATCTTACAGTAATTTATATTATTGAAAAGAGAAAGAGACAAGCTGCAATTATGATTAGCTTTCCATGTTAAGATACTGATACTTAGAATATACCATTTTGAAAATAAATTCCTAATAACACTTAAGAAGGGCTGGACATGGATATGGAAATACAGTCTATAACATTGATGCTTTACAGATTTAAGGTCTATAATTTAGTGTTCTTCAGTTTAGAGATCATTTGTAAGAAAAGAATGTAGTGGGATGGGATGGGATGGGAACATGACCCGTGGGTACAGGTACACTGTACTATGGCTACACCAAGGAAGACACATGAGAGATATACAGTACTGTATATCCGATTAGGAATTTGCAGAGTAATTTCCAAAGGAATTAAAACCTTTAATAGAAATAATACAAACAAGAGGTCTCAACTGGTGAACAGTCCAGGATCTAGAGAGGCTATCAGCCTCACACCATCACTCATCTATATAAACAACTCTGGCTCTACGGTCATGCCAGTTTGTAATTTATTTTTATTTGTAATTTTAATGAGCACTGTACAGTATAAAATATAATATCAGTTTCAACATGAAGTGTCTATTATATGAAATGATAAGTTACAAAGGGTGAAAATGCATCCTCATACTAATAATATTACCTGTACAAGTGAAGCTCCAGGAATACAGTGAACCCTCACTTTACGCGGTCAATTGAACCCACGGCGGCCCGCGTAAAGTGAACAACATAACATATGGGATTAATTGAAATAGAGACCGGGCCGACCCCCAAACTCCACTTTTTCAGACACAATACCTACGTTGTAGTAAAAATAACTTCTTAACTTTATGATGGTATGCACACACATTTTAATAATTAAGAAAAATATCAATATTAGGTTTTTTAACACTTATATTAGAAGAAAAGATGGCTGGGCACACGGGGATGGGGGGTTGGTTCCAAGGCAGAGGGCAGATTATTGGCCCTCACCTGTATCACTTGTATCAATTGTATCACTATCCACCACAGAGGCTTGCAGGGCTTCTTTGTCAAGCCCCTCAAAGTCCATATAAGTCCATATCCTCACTATCATTATCACTATCACGGACTTGGGCCGGCTGTGGTGGGTGGCGGGAGAAGAACTCGGTAATGTTTTGATGACTGGGCGACCTTGTGCGCACCCTGCTCGTGCCGCTCTCCGCGTAAAAGGGGACACACACCGCGGAAAGTGAGCATTCCGTGTTCGGCAGGGTACCGCGTAAACGTGGAAACGCGTAAAGTGGGACCGCGTAAAGTGAGGGTTGACTGTATATCTACTTTGAATAGCAAGGCATTACTGTATTACTGTACTGTACAGCATTAGAATTTAAATTTTAGAAAAAAATTGCACGTAAAGTCATAACCTACTTCAGTTCATAATCAAACAAAAGAGGTATTCTTTCAGCAATATATGCATACAGTAATATGTAAGCTGTACTATTTTACTAGGCACCTTTGCTAAAGGACTGGATTCTTTGCATGTTGTATTGTTTTAACCAAACACTGCATCCCCAGCTGTATCCATCTACACTGCACAGTATATGTTCAACAAGTCTTCAGATATTTAGAAATATCATAAAAATGTCTCTGGGAAGCTTAACCAAGAAATGCCCTACCAAAACATGGACAGCCAGGCATCTGGACAAACATTCTGTGAGACCAACATCCCATGACAGACAGGAACAACTGTAATATCTATATACAGTACTGTAATTGTATCATAATTTAAGCAAAGCTCACGATAATTAGTCTAAACCATTAACAATAAGCAGGAACAACAATACAGTACAGTACCTAAATCTAAAATATGGTAAGAATGAGCTACCGCTTATTTTCAGAGTGAGTGACCGTTGAACACAGAGAAAGTACTGACTCATACTACACAGTAACTACCCAAAATTAAAGGCACTGTGCAGTATGACTAATGAACAAGAAATTTCTGGAGTGGACTATATTAAAGGTACTACAGATTTGGAGTGTGGCAACCATTAAGCATGTAAAAAGCTTCACTATGGCTGGTAGGGTTTGAAGCATTATAAGAGATCTTTGAGGATTTTTTCTTTTCAGCCAGGAACACCAGCTGACCCACAAGTCTATTTCAAACCACAGGATCACTTTACATCCACTGCCAGTAGTAACTTATTTGTCCAGCTCCTGACCAGATGGCCTAAATGCACCACCATCAATGGGAAAGTCATGGATTCACCTGGGTCATGTTCAGCATCTTATACCAACCATATATGACACAGTATTATACTAAAGAAAGTCTATTAAAAAATATCAGGAAAGTTAATGCCAACATTAGGACGGGGATCAACCAAGATATCACAAAAATTCCTTTTCCGAGTCAAACATATAACAATTCACATTTAACACACACGCTTCTGTTACCAATCATAAATCGACTCTATAATCAAAATCTAGACACCATCGACAAAATGGAAATAAAACTAGGCTTATGTGTTTCCCAACTATATACAAAAAAAGACTTTAACTTAAGGTAAAAACAGCAATTGGGTTCAAACTAGATAAGGGAGTGTGGTATTTTTCAGGGTTTATCTAGTAATGCTTAAAATAATCCAGGAATATTTAGGCATCTTATGATGAAATTTGATAAAATATTGCCAGGGGATGTGTCATGAACATATGAATAAGTTGATGCCTTACAATATTATAAGAAATAAATTCCTTAATACGCTGTAATGATATTGAAAAGTGTGATAAAATGAATGAAACATTCTTTTAACATTATTACAATGACACTCCTGAATCTTTACTGCATTACTTGTGAGGGTGCAGCATTACAGGCTCAATAAGGAAACTGTGATACCCTAACCATATGTTCACATTTGCTTCCCATAATCTGTTAAAAAAGAAAAAAATCAAGTGATATTCTGTACAAACTTTGGTTAATACTGTACTGTATATTCTCTCATGAGATTATGAAAGAAATTACAGTACACATAAGTGCCACTGACAAAGAACTTCAAACTGAGAAAAGGAGAAGCTATAGTGAGCACAACGCAAACAAATTTGTGAACTTAAAAAAAAAATAGGGGGAAATAAGGCAGGGAAGCACGCGAGCACTCTAGACCTGCATAGTCTTGGGTGGTCACACGTCTCATGATGGATGACAGATTATTAGCTTAACCAGGCTTGTCATGGGGCAATCTTGGAGTAAATGATTAGTGGAGGCCAAAATAGGCAGACCACAGAACCAAATGTCTTCAAAAACCCTATGACAAAACTGACTAGCAGTGATGGTGACCCGAGGCATCAGTCATGCTCCTCAGCCAATTTCTAAGTAGCATTCTCAAACTTTTGACACAAACCCACTGAATTTTCCAATACAATTACTTACTGAGCTGTGTCGTCGCCGCCGTTTAGGGGAGGATCGACTCAGCTTCCTGGCCAGGTATCGAGCCTGGCACACCACACAAAAATAAATGATACAACCTCTGATGTACACCACTGTCATCTTTGGTCCAAAAAAGACTCACATGAGCATCATACATACTTCAAGCTTTCTCAACATAAAATTAATGTGTACTTACGAAAATAGTTACATGGAATGATATTACTACCAGAGTTATATCATCCCTCCTGCAGAGCTTAAGCTGATTCACAAGCTTATTAAGCACTTAAATAAAGTGTACCAGATGGTAATTACAAAATTTTAAAACTATTAAAGCTGACATCATTATTTCTAACACCTTGGTGTTGTTTGTGAGGCTGACTGACTAGACCAGTTTGTCTGATTCAAAGTTAACAGTTTCTGTTGCCACACTTCAGATATCTACAACACTGTACTAAACTTATTAGAAACCTGATAAAAATGTGTTAGAAATCTGTTAAAGTACAAAACCAACCTCATTCTTCTGAATTACAAGAGATATTTTTTGGGGGGCTCTGAGAGACAGTAGGTAGAATTTGGGCAACTGTGACCAAAACAAGATATTGTACACTGTTTACTATAACATTGCACTAACCTTTTGAAATCTGCCAAAATTATGCTAGATGGTTAAAAATAATAAAAATTTCCTCACATGAATAACTAACCAATTTCTGCTAAAAGCAGAAAAAGCTGCTTAATTCATATACTGTACAGTGGACCATATAATGAATATTCCTGACAACTGAAGATGTAAGAATTCATTTATCTGTTTAACTTTGTTACAACACAAAAACTGCATATAAAAATAACAATGCTGTATTTATCTAATTTAAAATACTGCAATGAGAATTAACAACATATGAGTGGTAGTTGCCAGCAATTGCTGTTTGAAGCAACCTTCACCCAGTATGGAGCACTCAATAAATATACTGTACACCTTAAATTCCACATCAGCCCACCTGAGGTAAGTCACAGTCATGAACTGACCAGTTATCGAACTACTGGAGCTGTCCTACAATTATCCCTCACATGTACCACTTAATCATAACACAAATATTGTTCATAAAGTTCTTTTGCGGGTTAAACATAAATATACCGTACTGTTCTCTACATGCTCATATCTCTATTTTTCATGAGAAGTTGACTTTAATTCATTGCCATCTGATTTATCTCAAAATTCCTTTGGTACCTAATCTTCAGACTGTTCATGGGACCACTGTAACAAACTAAACATTGAAAGTGATAAATAAGTCTGAAGTTGAGTCTTAACTTCTCAGTCACTGCACTCATATTGTCATTACCAGAGGTTCTCTTAAATACCATTCCAAATCCTTTCACAAAACAGATCTTTTTCATTTTATATTTGAAGCAATCTATCAAAATCAAGCTTAGCTTGTTTCCATAGCTGTAGCAATTAAATCATATATGGCATTTTATTTTTCTTTAGTTTCTATAAAATAATTCCCACCAAGAGTTGGTACACGTATATAAAACACAACAGCTTAAGCCCTGCCAGAGTAACATCTTAAAAGTATGTGCTGCAAAAACAATGCAGTACAGTATAAGCAAATAGATAGTAATACACAAATCTCACCTTCAAATGTAATTTCAGCTACAACTTAATTTTCATACAAGAAATTATAGTATACAAAGTTTGTGAGCAACAGTAATATAATATTGCAGAAAGAAAGTTATTCCTTCTACAATCACTTGAAAGTGTTGTAAAGTTATATCATACAGAACCATTTAGACCTTGATGACTTGTAAGTAGAGAAGCTTTGTAATATAGTTATTTCACCCATTGTCTTGATATCATTTAATAATTTAAAACACTTTCAAAATATCTTGCCATCATCCATATGCATGTTCTGAAAACCAAAATCATATCCATTCATATATGACAATACCATACTTTGTCAACCTCCTGCTCACCCCAACACATAGAAAGAATCTAGAAGGAATAATGTGTGTCACCCTAAGAACCTAAATATGAAGGTGCATGCTAGTGTCTACCAGGAGCAGGTCAACAACTATACCCTTTCCACGCTAACCTGGCCCATAAGCGCTAATGCCTTGAAATGATTTGCTTTTTGATAGTCCAGATATTTAACATTATTTTAGATAATAACAGGTCTGCTTACCAATTGTGAACACATTTAGTTTGAATTTTCTATGAACAATCATCTACAGTATTAGTATAGAAGAGGGGCATTGGCTTATGAGCCAGGTTAGTATGGAAATACTATAGGTGTTACTTACATACTAATATAAATAATTTGTAATTTTCCCCCAAATTGTGAAAATAAAAGTAAAAATCACTAAGACAGTCTCACTCTAAATGGCTAAAGGATGCAGTTTAAGCATGAACCAGAAATAACCTAATTCAGCATTAAAAAACATGTAATTGTTGGTTAAAGATACAACATATAGGACATTTATATTACTACGTACATCAATACATTTCATCCTCAGTTTAATGACACTTTATGAAACTGCTACAGTATCTACTTACAGGTAAATACAAGAAAAATTCTAAACAGCAACAGTATACAGCAAGAGCTGCATCTACTTTCTTAAGAAGTGTGTACCTAAAGATCCAGTCTCTTATTATCGCTGTTGGTCTTTGTAAGTGTGGCCGACTTAGTCCAAAATTAAAAAAGTTCTCTCCAATTGAATAGATCATCAATACTTTCAGAATCAACAGAAATATGTTCATCAAACAGCCCAAACTTTATAACTTAAGTCTGTTAATTTGTGACCTATATTATGATAATACAGGTATATGAATACAGCACTAATTATCATGAAGTAAATCATATGAGGGGACAAAGTTAAAGAAGATATAGATGTTAGTTGAGGATGTGTGTGTGGATCAATACCTGCACAGCTGCCTCTTCCTCTCTTTCCTATTTTTTTATTTATTTTTTGTCCAAGGAAGGAACTTTCCAATAGAGTGAACTGTCTCATCCAGGCCCAACATGCATATAAAGGACTGATCCAGCAGTGGAATAAAACTTATATTATGGAGACCAAAATCTACTATGATAATGTTTGTCTAAATGTTCATCAAAATGCTATATACTGTATAGGTATAAGGTTAACAAACTCAGCCATTAAGACTCAAAATAGGAGGATGGTTGAACAGTTGTAAAAGATTTCAGAACAAAACAAAAACAAAAAAATCTGTTCTCTCATAACAATAGAACCCACTCTTTGGGTACAAGAGTCTTAAGTGGTTTACTGTGGAGGATGGCTAAAAACTATGTTAAAATAAATATTGAAAAACTATTGAAAATGTACAGTGTGCAAACATACAAGGACTACTTGACCTAGACATCATACTCTGGGGACTGTGTGCTCTAGTGGAGTTAGGAGCCAGACAACAAATGCTCTATGATAAAAAAAAATTAACAACTAGAGTCTCCTTACCAAATGCCTCATCTTTTGTCACATTTACAGCAGCACTTGCATTAACAATCTTTACACGAGTGTTGATTGTTGACCATTTTATCACCTTCAAAACATCAAAGATCAAACAGCAATACCCAGTATGTATGCTGAAGAATTCTCTATGTTGGATTAGCTACCATGAGTAAAGTACTGTACCCACAACTAGCTCGTACCAAAGGAAAACATTATCAATTTAAACTTCAGCTTAGGAATGTGAGGCAAATGACCTTATAAAATTCATAACGAGTAAGAACCTGCTAGTATCCTTTAACTAAGACCTTAAACCCACTTCTCTATAAGAAGCCATCAAAATACCGTCCTCTTGCAAAGGCCCAGTTTGTTTCACTATTCATGTAAAAACAATCCATCTCCACTTAATTAAATCCATGTTTACACAGAGAACTGTTTGCTCTTTTAAGTTAACTGGAGGTATTAAATAATTCAGTAAATCATGCTACAGCCATTACTCAAGTTAATATAATTCACTTTCTTTTCCAAAACAATTCAAATACATTTCTCTCAAGAAATATTAACTAATAATAAACTAAATGAATTATTTTAACTTTTTATTTACTTATTTTACTTGAATCCACACATCTGAAGCTCTCTCTAACTTTTTATAATATATCATTTAACTGCCACAATTCTATTTATTTTCTGGCATAACCTTCAACCTTCTCATTACTATGTACAATTGTGGACAAAAAAAATTCAGGAAGCAGGGAGGGAGGGAGGTGGTGTATGAAAGGAAGCGGTTTAAAATCTGTGATTTTCTTTCCACACAACAAACTGATTTTTTTTTGTTTTCCCAGTAATTACAATGCAGGCACAGTTTACACTTCCTCCCTGCCAAATTCTTTTTGTCCACAACTGTACAATAAACAGCTCCTACTAATAGGTAACCAAACCAACATGTAAAATTTTTCAGCGTATGTCTGCTGTTGGGTCACTGTGTACATGAAGGTCCCAACATTTTTGGAAAGTTTACATAAAACTCTCGGCTTCAAATGTGGGAAAATGATGCATGATGATGAGGATGACAAGTTCACATCATCTTAGTGACTTCACAACCAACATCTTATAGATATACGACTACTGAGAAGGTATCAACACTCTCCATGCCTCTACAAGTAAGAACTCTAATGTCTACAAATACCAAGTGATCCCTATATATACAAACTGTATATTATACAAAACCGATTATTAAAATGTTACTACAGTAACAATATACGGTATGAGGAACCAATCCTGGAACTAAGTAGACTGTAAATCATACTGGAAAGTGTCCAATGTTCTTAACACATGCGTACAAAAACCGTAATAATATTAAGGAAAACTCTGACCCAAAAAAAATCTTTCCATCACCAAGACATAAGCTTTAAAAATAATTTACTGACCCTAATTTCAGGATCATCCCGATGGCGCCTGGAGGAAGATGGTGAACGGGCATGACCCTCTTGAGCATGGTGTTGGCTTCGAGAATCAAGGCCTGGAGTGGAGACAACTGGAAGGACATTAGGGTTGGCCTGCAGCTGTCGAATGATGTCTTCAATGTAGTTGACTACAACTTCAGCGTGGTTTACAGGCAACAGATTGGTCATGACCTGAAAGTAAATAACAAAATATTAAATTTTTATCTATTTATCAATGTTATGTTTTATAGTTAGCTTATGTAAAAGAGTAATTAGTACACGAGCTGAAAACAACCCATCCTGATGCTTCTTCCTCTCATAATATTCTCTTGTATCTTGTGTCTCTTGTCAAATATCACTTCACTCATCTTCTCTACCTTCATACTGCCCACAAGTCCACACCTACTCCCTGCCTACTCTGCCTTTCACTTCATCTCCCACTCCACATACTGTACTGCACTTTATCTTCTTGGATTTTCTTTGCTTTTAAACTCTAACTTTCTGGGGCAATATTCCTCTTGAGTGCTTTTATTTTATTATCACTTAATTCCTCTTGATTACTTATGTTTTATTACCACTTAATTAAAGATTTAACTTCTATCTATTCACACAAAGATTACTTCATTCCCTGACACACTATTCCCCACTTACTCTGGTTTACTGGAGAGTTTCTGTAATATTCTTTTTTTTTCTCTACTAAGCTATATAGTACTGCAAGAACATTTAGAGATCAACTGACTGATTAAGTCCACCCATAAATGAAGGAATGACATGCAATACTAAATGTTGTGAAGAAAGAAGAAATAACAGAAAACCATATGTATTCTTTCCACATTGTTTTTGTTTCCATGACATGCAGAGATTTGGTTAGATTAGCTCGTGTAGAAATATAGAATTTGAAATGCCTTACCAATTTGTTGGCGACATCTTGTGGGTCATTGTCTGTAATGTCAAACTTGAAAGTGATGGTCTTCTGTTTGATGGTCTCCAGTTGGCACTCAACCATTGTATGTTTCACACTCAACACGGTCAACTTTGGAAACCGATCGTAGGTTTTTTTCTTTCGGATCCTCTTGTGTGGCTTGCTGCTGGACCCATCGGCCGGATGTTCGCTGCACTCTGACTCGGAGGCGGCGCTGGGGTCAAATGGAGGGTGAGTAGAGGAGGTGATGGTGGTGTTTGAGGAGGAGGACATGGTGGTGATGATGGTGGAAGAGGTGGTGTTGCTGCTTGTGACGGAGTTGTTGGTCTGCGTCTCCAAACCAGTGCCACCAGGCCTTCTCAGATACATGGAAAGAACAAATTTCACTGTTTCACATATTTCACACAACAACTAGTACTTCAAAGGGATGATCAGTACTTACCAATTGGAGAATACCTCTGCATGCACCACATAAATCTTACACTCCAATGGCATTGCAAAACTGTTCAGCAGGGATTGCAAACAAAATATATAGCAGCATCATCAGCTACACAAAAAAGCTATCACTATGAGGAAGCATTGTAGGATTTTTAAAGAAATGTAGAAAAATATTTTATAAAGGGATGGAGGATCTCTAACAAGCAATGTCACATCTTGCAAAGGAGAAAGGAAAATTGTCCCCACAAAATAATATTTTTATCCAAAAATTAAATCAATAAACTATTATTAAGGACAAGAAAACACTAAAAATCACTTTGATTACTGAAACTATAAGAAAAAAGAATAAAAGACCACACAGAATATTATTTACAGTTAACTTATGATGCAAGGTGGGTCAAAATCATGGTTCATGACTCATCTAGGTTAGAGTGGGAGTTTTTCTTCTTCAAAACTGCATAAGCATGAACACAGTGAACAAGTGATATGGATGTGTCTCCTTTCAGCTCATAAAACTGCACGGAAACACGAGCAGTCTTTGACACACAATAGATAAATGATAACAAAACCACACAGTTCTGACATTTCTTTTAACAAGAATGTTAATACAGTACAGCAAAAGTCCTACTATCTGACCTGATTATTGTGATGGACTGCTACAGTATTATAAAACTGTAAAGTACAGTGAAACAGTAATGTATATAATGTACACTAAACTTGTATCCAAGTTTATCAAAATACATTATTGATATAATTAGTTCTTATGGGAGAACAAAACTTGGATAAGTTCTCTTCAGCTTCAAGATATAAACAGCAGTTGTTTCTCTAATATTATGGTCATTGTAAAATTGTTCAATAAATTTAAATAATTCAAATTTTTTACTCTTAAGAATTACAATGTTCCTCATTGGTCTGCTTTTCATCACATTCACAAATCCAATATCATTACAATCTAATACAGTGGTCCCTCGGTTAACGAGTTACCTCCCATAAGATTCTTAAATTCGGTTAACGAGCAACCCCTCGGTTAAAGAGTTTCTTACGAGCCGACCTCAACAAGTTTTGGCTTGCACTGGGCGGTCAACCAGCTGTAGTATTAGTCCGCCAATACATTAATCGGTTCTAGGGCTTAAATTCCTTACTATTTTAGTATATATCAAGAAGTTTATACTATTCAATAATTTTAAAAGTTTAATATTAATTTTTTAGTCATTTTAACAATTATTGAACATAATTGAAGGTAAAGTGACTAGTTTAATGCGCGGCATCCAGCCTCTTAACACAGCAAACAGGCGTTAGTCTCTCTCTGTTTTCACTGGAGGTAACATCTTGCTTGAGACTCTCTTCAACTAAATGCTTTTTTCTGTGCTTCCAAGCAAATTATTGGTCATTTTAAAATTTATTTTACATATTGACGATATATAGCGCAGTGTTATTTTAAAGAAAATATTCTTTATTTACAACAAGTTTAACTTTGAAAAGCACGTGTTGACATTGTTTGAATCCAGCATGGGGCCTAAGAGATCAAGAAAAGCAATTTCAATCCAAACCAAGCAGGAAATCATAAAAAAACATGAACAAGGCATTAGAACAAATGCGCTATGCAAAGAATATGGCATGTCCCACAATTCTTGCACAGAGAGACAAATTTAAAGAAGTGAAAGTGAGAGACAAATCTACAAGTGTTTAAAAGTAGATCCCTAATTGCAGAAACTGAGAGGTTACTTATCATCTGGATTAGGGAAAAACAGATGAAAGGTGATTCAGTTTCTACTGAATTCATTTGTGAAAGAACCATGGAGATTTACGAACATTTAAAGACAGATCAACCTGGTTCTTCAGGCACAGAATTTGAAGATTTTCGGGCCAGCAAAGGCTGGTTCGAAAAATTTAAGAAAAGAAGTGACATTTTCAGTGTTGTTAGGCATGGTGAAGCTGCTAGTGCTGATAAGGAAGGGGCAGCAAAGTTTTTAGATGAATTTAAAAAACTGATGGAAGAAGAAAATTATCTTCCACAGCAAGTGCTCAATGTGGACGAAACTAGGATGTTCTGGAAAAGGATGCCCAAAAGAACATTCATCACCAAAGAAGAAGCCTCTTTACCTGGGCATAAACCCATGAAAGACCGTCTCACTCTATTGCTTGGTGCCAATGCTTCAGGGGATTTCCGAATGAAGCCTATGCTTGTCTACCACTCTGAAAACCCCAGGGTGTTCAAGCAACAGAAAGTGGTAAGAACAAAGCTTGGAGTTTATTGGAAGTCCAACCGTAAGGCATGGGTGACAAGACAGCTCTTTATTGAATGGGCTGTTGATGTGTTTTGCCCTTCTGTCAAGAGCTACCTAACCACCAATAAACTCCCTTTAAAGGCTCTTTTCCTCATGGATAATGCTCCAGGTCATGACCCTGACCTTGCCAGAAATTTGGAGTATCAATTAGACTTTGTGAAAGTGTTGTTTTTGCCTCCAAACACTACATCAATCATACAGCCAATGGACCAGAATGTGATCAGCAACTTCAAGAAGTTGTACATGAAGAAAATGTTCAGGAGGTGTCATCAGGCAACTTCCACTGATCCTGAACTAACACTGGCGCAGTTCTGGAAGACACAATTCAACATCCTGGAGGCTGTAAAATTGATTGTGTCATCATGGCAAGAAGTCTCCACTAGATCCCTCAATTCTTCATTGAAAGCACTGTGGCCATCAGTAGTCCATGATTTTGAGGGACTTGAGGAAGAAACAGAGTTGGACCAGGAGATTGTGTCCATTGGTCAGTCATTGGGCCTTGAAGTGGAGGAGGAGGATGTGGAAGAGCTTGTGATATCTCATGAGGAGGAACTTACTCCTGATGACTTGAAGCAACTGGATGAGATGTTACAGGTAGAGACTGACAGTGGTGAGGAGGAAATTGAAAGTGATGACCATGTCAGCTAAACAGTTGAAAGATGTGATTTACTACTGGGAGAAGTTCAGGGAACTGGCTTCAAAGCACCCAGAAGTGGAAAAAACTGAACTAACTTTGTGTCATGTTGAGAACTCAGTGGTCTCCTTCTTTAAACATAAGTTAATGGTGAGGATGACAGATGCCCCACAGACCACAACTGACACTTTCTTCAGTAAAAGGCAGAGGGAACAAGATGCTATCCCTCAGCCTTCCACTTCAAGAAGGAGAAAGGATGTTCATGGTGGAGAATCTGTCAGTCCAGAGATTCCTGACATTTTCATGGAAGGTGACTCGCCTTCCAAGAAGCAGTAAAATGCTTCTCCTCCACCTCCACTTCCTTCTCTTCTCCATTCTCCCCCTCCACCACCCACTTCAAATGCACATCATCATCATCATCCAGGAGCATTCTACATACACACCTCAAAGTAAGTGAACTTTTCTACCATTTTTGTTGAATTTAGGCAATTTTCGGTGAGCTGGAACCAATTACCCAAAAACCCATTGAAACAATGGTTTCGGTTAACGAATTTTTCGGTTAACGAGCAACCTGCTGGAACGGATTGTGCTCGTTAACCGAGGGACCACTGTATTATTAACCAACAGAGTGAAGAATTTTATGTAATATTTATGGACAAAACTCCATACACAGAGTGAATACAACTGATCATACCAACTACCAAAACAAATGAAATATGAGGTGGGCAGACAGTGGCTTAAGTTCCTCTAGTAATAATTCACAAATTTTGAAGGTTGGATACCTAAAATAAAATCTGATTGGGGGCAAGATTGAAAAGCTGGATAGTTGGACTGATTGCAAAGTTGAAAGTCAGATAATACAAATTTTAGTTCAGTTCATAAAACCAATTACTGTACGAAGTATACTGATTTTTAAGATAAACCAATGCAAAGAGACTGCACACAGCAAAGCGTATTTACTAAAATAGTGCAAAAAGAATTATATGAAAAGGAAAACTTGAAATATTATGAATATGAAGCATTCTTAGGAGGCACATTCAAATCCTAAGACATAACACACCAAGGGGAGATCTTGAGCAATGAAGACATGGGACAAGGCAAGAGTCTTCAATACAAGATGCCTTACCTATCATTCAGCAGGTGAGAGTATGCGTCTGTAAGTATCTGGGGCGATGGACAAGTTTCCACCTGTGAGAGGAGGGGAGGCACATTAGAAACCTGTCAACAGGAAACAACAGCATACTGTATATAATTAGTAAGAAAATTTAATTGCCTCTACAGATAAAGCAGATCTTTCTTCTCATAAATATGATTAACTACAGTCATTAAATCATCTATTTATATATCTACCTACTGTATTCATTTAAAAATATTCTACACAACAAACAACAATACAATCTGGAAAAGAGAGTGCGGGGTGCTGGGACTCAGGAAAACTAAAAACAATAGAGAGGATGAAGAAAAGTAACATTTGGGGACAGGGGTCAAACACCCAACAGAAAATAAGAACATTGAGTGATGAAGTACTGTAATGCTTTCATGCTTTTTGTTATGAGCTTGTAATGACTGTACTACTGTATCAACTTGTGTTGCTAATGTACGTGAACACTTACATGGATTTATAGTAGTTGCATTACCCTTGAGGTAGGACTTACACAGGCATCATGAAAGAAAAGCTTAAATACATGAGTTGTTAATGAGATGGGAAGACTTCAGTAAGGATTTGGAGGTACAGAGTAGGTATAAGTCATGTGGCAGCTTCTCAATAAAAGTTTTTGGAATGTAGCAAGAAGGTGAAGCTCAAACCATGTTTCATATCACAAGTCATACCAAACTAAAAAGAAAGCTAAGCTGTAGAAGATTAGCTCATCTCATGGAATGTGGGCAAGACTAGTACAAAGTATTAAAGGCTATGATAACCTCAGTGACAAGACTGGAGCAAGCACAAGAAAAGAATGAATATGTAATAAGGTAAGACAGCCAATATATGGGAGGGTTATGTACATTAAAATTTTGTTGATACCCTGAATACTAATTAAAGTGTTGAGACTGAAGCAACACTAACCTTGATGTGTTGTCAACAGATTGTAAAATATTGAAGAAAAAAAATAGCAAGAGGAAATTGAAGATGCTTTTAAATGAAGTAAATAAAGTACTGCTTGGTGTAATTTAAATTCCAAAATAACATTTTGTGATTACAGATGGAGTAAAATATTTGGAAACATTATGCCGCTGATAAAGGAAGTTTCTGCCCATGTTTGTTTAGTTTATTACAGCTAAATTTAATCAAGATACCAAAAACAAGGACCTATTAGTCACCTGGGGTTATTATGAGCACCTGTGATTAATTTTAGGTCATTAGGAACATCTTGAGTCACTTGAGATTATTGTCAGCATCTATGAAAATGTGTAAGAGGCTGATGGAGATCCTCAAATGTCAAAGTGTTAAGAGATATTCATAGGCTGTGTCTGTAACTCTGATCTCTGACCTGATGACTAAATCCTCCTTCCACTATCTATAAAGGTTCTGTGTATGAGGTTTTCCAGAACTACTCATAGTAGAACTGAAGGTTATTGTTCTGACAGTCTTGGGTCATCTCCAGAAACAGTGGCCTTAACCTTTGATCCTCCCAAAAATCAATCTTCTTTCTAACCTTTAGGGCAAGATTTTCCCTCAATTTTTGGAAGTTGGGGAATAAATATTACTGTACTAAGGTTTTGGTTCAAATAGCAAAAGAACCGGTCAAAAAAAAATGGATCCAAAACCAATTACAGGACTATAGTGGCGTTTTCTATACAGGTGGATTTTGGCCAAGTTTACCATGTGAATATAAGACGGTGATATGTTATGCTATGATAACTAACATGACTGACAGAGGGACAGGTGATATCAATTAATAAAGGCCAAACATTAGAAGCAAGGATCATCTTTGTTGTGGTGACATAATACAAGTGGTGAAGAAGTTGAATGAACATCAAAATTAAAAATAAGGTGGATATGACAAAAAAAAAAACTGGACAGTACACTAATAAAGCTAAGTGGAGAGAAGCTACAGAGCGTGGGCCACTTTATGTACATTTATGGGAGGTAAATAATGGGCTGGTGGAAGGAGAGCATAGTGAAGAACGTGTAAATTAAAATGAAATCTTAGGTGTGGAGTGGAGCAGTATTTTTTTTTAACACAGGCTTCTTCTTGTTGAAATACAGAGTGACCAGACAAGTGTTAATTCTCAAGTCTTAGTAGCCAGCAGCTAGTGAGTTACCCCAACCCCACCAAAAGGTTATTCCATTATTGACATGCAAATCCAGTAATGGACCGTACTCACTTTAGATTATAAGAATAACAAATGAAAAACAAAAACAAAATGACAAACTTAGGAGCAAATAAAAATTTCAGAAGATTAACTGAGGTTCTGAAGACTGGAAATGTACAGTGAACTGCTGTGGAGGAAGGGAAGTAGAGAGAGTTTTAAGGCAGTGTACTATACTATGTAAGATGAAGAGGAATATTGTACTAATAGGTGAAAATATTATGCAAGAATGAATGATAATGAAAAGGACGATAAAAGATAAAATATGGATGTTCTTTATATGCAGATGTGTGAAATTACCACAGTGTTTCAATAAGCGTGTCATGGATTTACCTATATTCCATGTGAAAAACTATGTACGTTCTGGTATATTTGTCTGTGTATGTGAGTGTGTGTGTCTTGGGTTACAAGTACAAGCATATTTCCCCAGATATATATGAATGTCATAACCTTTGCACTCTAATTCTCAATATTTAAATCAAACTATTGAGACAGCATTAATAACATCAGTCTAAACTGTTCATATACCCAAGAAGCCACAAGCAAACTAAGAGGCAAAAAGAATAATAATCATGGCAGCAAATCAACAACATCAATATTCAGTTTCTATGTTTTTTTTTTTAATATTGGCAGGGAAAAATAATCAGATTAATTCTTGAAAAATATCCAAATAAACACTGCATATAAACAGCATAATCATCAATATAATGTAGAAAAAAAGATAAAATAAACCAAACAAGAAAAGATACAGAGGAAATCACATTAGAAGTGTGTACATTAGTTATAAGTTAACCTATACATAAGCAAAATTAATGGCATAAACTGTACTGATAAATTAATAATACATTGTGAATATAAACTGGCTTATTTTTTTTTTAATCTTAAAAGCCTTCTCCTACGATACATATTGGGGGGTCAAACACAAACTAGGACTCTTTCCCCTCACTCGCCCATTTACTCTTTGACAGTACACTAAGCCACTCACCACCATACTCTACTATTATTCATATGTACTCTACTCCCTGTATGTCCATCCCTATCACTTCTAGTATACTTCCCTCATCACCATTAGCTTCTCCTCTCCCTCCTGCCATCTACTTTAAAATTATTCACTCTATTGTTACTAATCTTTCACTCAATATCTCTATACCATCTAGCACACCTTGGTCAGAATTCTATCCGTCGCTTGTTTTGCTTCAACATCGAATTTCTGTATTATAAATATTGAATGATGTATCTGTGTAAGTGTATGATTGGCAGAGGAGAACTCAAAATAAAATTTGTATTGTGCATGTTGTAGTATACTTTTGAACATATTAATGGAATGTCTTTCTCATCATTACAAATATGACTTGAGGTTTGAGACATGCTACAAGGGAAATCCAGAAACAAAATTGACAGATGCAAAAAAGTCCCATTGTTGGAATTAATGCCCCCAACAAGAGAAATGGTGGTGGTGAAGGTACCATCATATTAATGAACTTCATCTGGAGTGTGAACTTCAGTAGACAGTTATAGTCAAAGATAGGAAGACACAGCATTCATTTAGTTTAAAATACTAATAAAAAAAAAGTTTGTTCTACTCTTTCAAGCTTTTCTAATTTGAAGCACAGTGGCTGGAAACAAGCAATTGCTATATATACAAACATTCCATTTATTTGATCATTTAATCACTCTTCTTGCTGCAGAAAATGTGTTCTGCTTGGATACCTCCCTTCCATAACAGGGCCCCAAATCTGGTTAACCCAGTCACTTCACACAAGCAAACATAATGTCCTTCCCTGAAAATCACTCGATGCCATATTCGCCACTCATTTAAGCACACTGCTGTTTCCTGTATGTTCATCTCCTTTAAACCCATCCTTCCACCTTCTTGGTATAACCCATTCCCTCCAGCCATCCACCTGTGAATTATAAGCTCACTTTCACTGACTAAACTCTCATTTGTTCTCTGCTCAACTCTTCTTTCAGTTCCCCATTTCTGTATTTCTTATTCTCTACATCCAATTTACCATAATTATCACTTTAAAGCTGCTCCTTCCTTTTGCACCCACTCAGTGCTTTACATCCACAGAATAACGTAAACTAAACTCCCGATTACAACTTCCGGCAACATTTCCTACCACCTTTCATCTGCTTATTTCTTACATTCTTTTTCCATTCTCTTCACTTTCCTTCTAGAATGGTGAAAACATACAAAAGTAAAAGAAAAACTGTAAAATTTAGATTCGACTATCATATGAAAATAAGATCTCTAAAATCCTCCAAATTATCTTTCATATAAACAGGATTACAAGAGGAGTAACTGGCAAACTATATTACTGGATTTCTCACAGACTTGTCTACTGGTACGTTAGCTAAACTGAAGTGCCGTATGTCTCTAAATGTAAAGCGCAGATCATGAATCTCAACTGACCTAGTGATTGGATTAATAATACTGTTTATTATTATATTTGAGAAAGAAAAAGGAATTAGGCTATGAACTTCTGCTAAATAACCAATAGGTACGTGGTTGAATATTTCACATAGTATTCCAGAACTGTTCAGTGGATGGAAGATAACAGCTTCAAAGAAAAGTATGTTTACTGAGGACCTGAGCCGGGGAAACTAATGAAGGGTGAGTGAGACACTGACTTGGAATACTGTCCAGGAAAGGTCTTACAGTTACAGAAATGGGGACTGAATTAATTAGAAAAGAGAATAACTCCAATGTGGCAATACAAAGAAAAATATGGAATAAATTTCAAAACATATATAGTACTGTACAAAGAATGTGGGCAAGTGGCCAATAAAAAATAAATAACTCAAAGTTAAAGCATAAATCAAGGAAAATACAAGCAAAATGTGCTGCAAGTAATACCGGTAATATATGTAAG